GACGTTTTTTTTTTTTAACTTCAAAAACAAAACAAAAAAATTATACATCTTAAAAAAGAAAAAGCCATTTTTGTGTGTTGGCAAATACACATTCACAGGTATTAAAACAAAGTATGATGGCAATAATATGACACTCGCCCGGCTGATGTGGCCCTTTAACCTTTTGGGGGGGGGGGGGGGGGGTGGGGGAGGGGGGGTAGCTGATCCTTGTGTGTTTTATGTTTCCAGTCATTGGTGTTGTCTCTGTGATGGTTCTGTTTTGTGAAAGTCCCACGTCTGTGCTTCTGTGAACTGACGCCCCCTGTGGCACATGTTCCAACCGTCTTGTTCAATATGGGTGATTGTGTCCGGTTTGTTGATATGGTCCAGTCCGTCCCGTACTTTTGCTTGTTTTTATTGTTTAAATAATTCTGCTGTCTCTGTGTATCTCTGTGTCCACACATGCTCGTACATCAGGTTGTCCGGTCAGTGTGAGTGTACACGTTCACGTGTTTCTTTGATTTCGTTTTTGTTTTTTTTTACAACCAAATCCTGAACAGTGTACAGTTAATGTTTGCTCCAATACCAAGCAGAAAACAGATAGCATCACAAGGTAAAGGGTTGTGCAGCTTGGACAGTAACCACCTGTACGTCTGTCCGTGCGCTCCTTCTCATTACACTGTGTGGTAGGAGCTGACGATTAGCCATTGTTTTTTTTATGTCCCTGTTCCTGTAGATCTGTTTACAGTGTAGTGCTAGAGGTCAAATCGATTCAGTCTGTGAACTTTGCACTTTAATAACTGGATAACCTAGTGAACAAAGGCAGCTTTTACATGGAGGAAATGCCTTATGAGTGTCATACCTGATTTTGCATGCTAGTGACATTGATGTGTTGTACAATTAAAGTGTCTGTAACCCTGAAACAAGTTCATTGTTTTATTACTGGTACAAGTTTCTTCCAGAGGATGTTTTGTCTACAAAAAAATAGAGCCTGCCATAGTAACCTACAAGGATAGTAAAAAAAAAGACAGAGTAGTAACCTACAAGGATAGTAAAAAAAACGTAGAAAAACGTAAAAAACGTAGCCCTGACGTCTACAGATCAAGTCTGGGCTCCTTATCCTGTTTGCTCAAATTCAAAATGAAATTCCATCTCTAAAAATATTTTGACTTCAGCTGGCCTGGGGCTGTAGAAGCCAACGTAGTGACCACTGATCACGTTGTGATTGTGATGCAACTTTTACATCAGCACATGTTTTTTGGAACTCGCCCTCTGATGTAATATATTTTCCTTAATGCTACATCCCCCCAGTCTCTGTAGTCTCCAAACACTTAATTTATTATTATTTAGTCAGACCTCATTTTTATTGTATTATTTTTTCCATTTTTGTGTGGCTGATGGCTGATGATGTAACAAAAAAAAAGTTTTTGCTATTTTTGTAGATATTTTACTTGATGTGTGTGAGGGAATTTAAAAAGATTCTTAAGATTAAAATTAAAGCATTGATGCTAAAAGGTCAACATTTACCAACAACACTTTACACAATAAAGTCTCTCTTTGAGCGTTTTTTTTTTCATTTACACCCTTTGCTGAGTCCATGCCCTATAATTAGGGCTTTTATTTTCCTTTCACTCCTGTAAATAACACCAGCAGGCAGTTGTGTTTTTTGTTTGCCACAAATGGAATCATCTTTAATAATATCACTATAACTTACAAAAAAACATACCACTCTCAATAGCAATACTTTTCAAAAGTCTTCTCTGTACATTTACGCTTTGCCCTTTAAATAAAATCTTAAGCTTTTTCCAAAAGAAAAAAAGTAATCAGTTATGACACTGTAAACAAACAAAACATAAAACAGAACATTATTTTCAAGGCAGTTGTTGGCTGCATCATTGCTTTTTATTCGAGGAAAATTTTTTTTTTTTTTATCTTAAGTTGAGTTTTCCAGTCGGACAAACTCTTGCTCCAGCATTCCAAAAACATGCAAATAATAAATAATAATGATAAAATTCTTATTTTCAAAACCTTTGGTTATTAACATGCAATGGATCTTTGACAATCTGCAACTGCCTTCTCCTTCTCTCTGTTCATTCCGATAACCTCTGCACGTCCTTCAGTACAATGTTCTTCAACATCCTGGCCAGTTCACGCCGCGGTTTCTCCTGTAGCTGCTTCATCAAGCTGCCACGTTTGGACACGGGTGGGTTCCCCCACCTGAAGTGACTCATGCGGTAGCTCCCTTCTTTCCTGTCCTGTGAGTTCACGGGGACGTGGGGCTTGGAGTTGACCCTTTGCCTCTGGGGTGCCTGACTCTGCGTGCTCTGTCGGCTAACGACCCCCTTGGTGTCATCTTCCAGGCTGCTCACTTGTCTTCGAACATGAGAAGGGAAGCTGCCCTCTGAGGAGCCACCTCCTTCTAGGGAGGAGGCAAAGACTTTGATGGGCCGACGTTTGCGGCCCGGTGGTTTCCCCCAACGGAAGTGCTCCATGGAATAAGAACGTCGTTCCTCACTGTGGGTCCTGATGGTGGTTTCTGGCGCCTGGTCGTCAGAGGAGCCGAGGGTGGCCAGTATGATGCTGATCAGGAGGTCAGTATTGTCAGTGTAAGCAGGAGCCTTCACCTCGGGTCCGTCTAGCTCTGGCGACTCAGTCTGGCTGGTAGACATGCAGTGGCGAATGCAGTCCTGTGTGAAAGAAAACAACGAGAGCCATTTAATTTGACCTCTGCCCTCAGAGGTCTCTGAGTTTTAAAAGTTCTAAAAAGCTGGCTGTGCGTCTCGGGGCAAAAAATTAACTAATTTTGAAACAATTAGTTCCCTAACATTCTGATGGGCCATTCATTGTTTGTTCAACAACGACATCACATGGACCATGGACAAATTACTGTAAAACCCAAGGAAGTTAACTGGCTCCAGGGCAGGACTCAGGGCCTGTGCCTCAGTCAAAGTACCCATTGTCCTGTTGTGGAGCTTTGGAAGAGTCAATGAAGACAGATCACAAAAACCAAAATAAAAATCATTTAATCAATAATCATAGTTAGGTGCCTATATCTATTAGATAAATAGATAAATAATAAATAGAATGTTCTTCTCCTGATGTTTGTTCCATTTTGCTGACTCATGCTGACTTGGAGAAAAATAAAAATAAAAGTAACTTTATACGTACCCTAATCCTTCTGTCGCTGCTCAGGTTGTTGCAGAGGGCGCTGTACCAGCACACGGTCCCAAACCCGGGGATGTTCACGAAGACCATCAGCACCACCAAGAGCCACTGCACACACACCATCTTCAGCCTGTCGTAGACAACAGTCGCACAAGTGAGTGATTGAGCGTTGACACGGCGTGTGAGAAATGGCTGCCTGACTGAGAGGAAACTCGTGATTCGTTTCGACTTCAGCGTGACATGTTTCAACAACATCTTTACTTTAAAGTCATGATTTATGGCCTGGCGTCATGGCTCAGTAGCAACAGTGAGACCAAAACCCCAAAAATAAAATACCACCATCACCCGAAATCACATGCATTGGAACAGACGGTCTTGTTTTTCACACAGGCGGAAAAAATCGCGGCACATTTTGAACATAAACAACATCCACAGGCAAGTATCGTTAGCAGCAGCATCGTGCTCTGCGGTGGATCCACTGTGTGGTTAATGAAGTTTTCCAGTGGTCTAATCAGAGGTCAGACCTAAAACAAAAAAATCAAAAGTGTCCTCACAATCTGAGTAATTTGGAGCATTTCTATGGCTTAATGTGTGCACACGTGTGACTGTGCTCTACCTCAGGCTTTAACAGAGTATTAATCTGATTTTGTACCAGGGGTTCCTGATGGTGAGAGGCAGAATCCGTCTCAGGGTGTTTCATTATTTTCCATATATGTTCCACAATGAGGGTTAGACACAGTAAATGTCAGCTGGTGGCTGCTGTGCTCTCATTGCTTACAGTGTTTCATAATAATAATAAAAATGTCATTATTCGTCCACTTTTACAGTTCTACTTTACATAAGCATCTGAACTGGAAGACAAATAACCCAGTGTGCCCCGGTGCAGCGTCCCAGCTCCAGAAAAAAGGTTTTGTGCGTCATTTGAACACATCAACAATAAAAGTCATTCCGGATGCTCTGAAGTAGACTGTGTTCCAATAATGTGTAAATTGTGTTAATGAAGCTAAAACGCAGTCAGTGTTTAAGCGTGTCGACGCCAGCGGACGTTCTTATTTATTCCTGCAGAGACGTTACACTCCGCTCTCACAAAGAACAGGCTTGAATTTAAACGAAGTGTACACTGTATCTCACTGGTTCAATGTGATTTGTTGTTTTCTACTCATTATAACAGAGCACAATGTTAGGCTGTCATATCACCATCAATACCTCTTTGTATGTTCAGTATCATGGTGAAAAAAAAAGAAGCACTTCCTCAGTTATGGCAGCAGCTGACTCCAGTCTAAAGTTTGTCTTTTGGACCAAAACTTTGTCCCTGAACAGAAACATACGTTCTTGAAACTTGAGTTGTGAATTCCTTCAAACATCAGTGGTGACTTTCAGTCATTAGACTCTAAAGGTTTCCATCCAGTCTCTGTGCCTTGTCAGCATGTAATTACCTGACAGTCTATTATTCACTGCTGTGACAATGGAAAGGAGGTTAACATTCAAAATTCCATGTGTTCCTGGTTTTCCGGGCACAACATCTATACCAGTTTGTTCTGCTCCTGTGGAAGTGAACTCTGTCTTCAGCCTGTTTCTCTCATTCCGTTCAATTATCTGCTGCATCTGTCTGTCATCCAATCCCTGGCCTGTTCCTTCACGTATTATACTTTATATGTTTTAGCTTTACAGCAGCGACCATCAACTGGTGGTCCGCAGCCCGAATCTAGCCCGCCTAACCATCCGGCCTCCAACTGTATTTGGAAATGAATATCATAATAAAGTTTTGTGCAGTGTACACTGCCCTGCATAATATTTGTTTTATTACTGAACAAAATATAATGTTTTTCTTGCCGACCTTATCGGCCTCAGAAACAGCTTCGCTCTGGATGGCTAATATGAACCATTATGTGTTTTCGTTCCAGACCAGACATGCACTGGCGTTATAATGGATGGTGTCGTCCATGTTGACTGTAGTACAAACACCCCAGATCCTGTAGTGTATCTCCTGAACAAGTTGAGCCCTGGCAGTAACAAACAGCACTGACAGTGTGCTTTCTACATGTAGAAGTCTGGGAGTACGGCTCCACAGGGAAGTCCTGGAAATCTGGAACCAGGTTCTTCAAGACCCTGAGTTTTTATTACGTTGAGTATCATACATGTAACTAAAATACTTCCATATGTCCAGAGGCCTACGGCATCCTTCATATTTGTAACTGTTTGTGGGGTGAGTCAAATGCGAAATTGAAAAATAAATGTTTTTCCAGTGAAGCCATCAACCTGTGGTTCAACACTGCGACTTGGTTAACGTGCAGAATAAACTAGAGGTCAGTGCACGACTGTCTTTGGGTTGACTTTTGTGTAATTGTGTAACATATTCCTAAAGGATTCCAAGGTTAAAAAAACAGCATTCCCTCCTTTGGCACTGGCCTCTAATAACTAAATAAAACAGACTTTTGCTGTGTTAACATCCGTCCATCAGACGCTCGGTCTAAAACTGTTTGTTACCTTAGGAATCGGCAGCGGCAGAGATCACTTTCAAAAGAATAAGTGAATTAAACAGCCCTGGAGCCGAGCGTCTCTGTTTGGTTGTTCAGGGCAAAATCAAGAATGAGTTTTACAGGGTTAGTAACCCCCCCCCGCTCCTACCTCGTGCCCCCCCCCCTCACCACCACCAAAACAAGTTCTTTAGCTGAGGTAAAAGCCACAGCTGTGAAAGGTCAGGAAGGTGAAGGAGACCAATACACTGGCTTTATATGTGAGTGGTGGACAAAGCTGCGTATGTGTTTCCAGCTCAAGGACATAAACCGGTTCACATGGACACGGGAAGACAAACAGGAGTCAGGGCTGCCTATGTAACACCCCACGAACACTATAGTTAAGAATGTAATGAATGGATGACGAGTTCAGTCGTTTAAGTGATTGATTTACTGCAGTTCAAGTTAAATTTTCTTAATATATCGCACTACACAACATGAAGCCCTTCTGACATTTAAATGTCATCAGTTTAAGTTCAGTCCTTCTAATTGTTTTATCAGCATTGTTTGGTTGTAGGGCACAGGTTTAGACACATTTTTGTAAAAATATTTGAACACAATTTGTAAATATATATATATATTGTTAGTATCTCCAGTAGTTCAGACCATGTATAACAGAAAAATTGGATTTTTAAAAAATTGAACCAATATTAGAAAATATGAAGCCATGTTTGGTGATTTTTTTTAAATGTTTTGAACCAATGAAGCCTTTCTGCCAATCTAATCGTCGCTTTAATTGTTTTTAAATTATTTTTTAAGCTCTGTTTGTTTTTAAAACTGATTTCTTTAAGGACAAAAAAATAAAAATGTGTTTTTATTTTGCTGAAATTGTTTTAAAAAATAATACATATGAAATAAATATTACATGTTTTATTCCCATCAGTCATTGTGATCTCCTCCGTTTATTAATGTCCCACAGGGGAGCAGTGGGAGAAACAATGAAAAACACTGATTCACATGGTTTGGAGAAGAGCAGAGTGTTTTTCCATCTTTCGTCTTTATCGTCCTGTATAGTGACTCCTCGGTGGGCCGTTGTGGGGTTTTTGTGTGTCTTAACTACATTCATCCTACAGCATGAGTCACTGAGTTGAGCTGAGTCTAGGTCTCCACTGACATTCTCTTCTAACAAAACAGCTGAAAGCAGCAATCCAAATGGAGCCGGGTGTATTTTCTTAATGATGCAGAGTTTCATTTACAGTTTTATTTATATACACTAAAGTGAGTCTTTGTGCTGATACCTAGTCACCTGGCACAGTATTAGTCTAAAAATAAACACTTTTTAAAACACACTTCTCTTCTTTTAGCCATGCACTTGAATGAGACGTGACGGAGGAGGAGCTGCACATGCAGGAAAAGTCTCTAAAAGTTGTCAATAAATCAGCTAACAAGTGATCGTACGCTGAATTAAAGAACAGCCAGATATCCATGCATGCACTTTAAAAAATTTTTTTTTTACCTTTTTCAAACGTTGTACTTTCCACTTCTTCTATTTCCCCCTGTGTTTGTCTACAGATCTTCTCTTCTCGGTTCCTTCTTTTCCTCCTCCTCTCCTGCTTTCACTCCGCGCCGTGGTGAAATGCTCAGTGGGAGAAGATCTGCTTCTTCTGCTTCTTCACAGGAAGAAAGCTCCTTTTATAGACACATGAAGGATAAAGCCCTCAAGGCCTTGGGGTGTGATTATGTTGAAGGGGTCTCCTGCTTCGTTCTGAATGGAGAAGGTGTGTTTTCTTTGTGTGTGTGTGTGTACGTGTGTGTGTTTGTGTTTGGGAGGTATAAATGCCACCCACAGAATTTTCTTTTTAATCAATGGAGCAGCTTACGTCACCAAACGACAGGTGAAGCATTAGTGAAGAAGCTGCTAACTCTGCTCCTCCTCCTCCAGCATTAACAAAAACCAAAAACTCCAACAATCCTAAATTAGTTCTTCAGGAGCTAATTCAGGGGCTGAAGCTGTTTTTTTTTTCTTTTTTAAGAACTGCAGATTATAATACGCCTCATGCACATGCGTGATTACAACTTGATGACAGCAATTGCTGTCCTCCAGAGTCAATCCCTGCTTCAAATCCCTCAAAGGCCAGTCCTTAATCATGGGGATCGTCACCGTCGCAGCAACAAAGCAGAAGTGAATGGGCTGCACCGGAGTGTGTCAAATCAGTTTGACTGATTGGATCGTTTCTCAGCGTTTCTCCTTGACAAGGTGGGCATGCATCCCACTGTGGAAACCTGATTTGGAAGATCTGACTCACTGTTTGGACGTCATGTCTTCAACTCAACACACAAACACACAAACACACACACACACACACAAGCAGTGTTTCATAAACGGGAAGGTTCATTGATTGAAAAGAGAGCCACTGTCCTTTAACTGATTCACAGAACATAATATAACTCTGCGCCGCTGTATAGATGTTTTCAGCACAAGGACGGACCACGCAGAAAAGGTGGTTGGAGGTTAGAGGACATCATGTGTCTCCTATAAAAGAAGCAATCAATCGGTTACGTTTCTGCTCTTTAAAAAAAAAAACCTTTCTGTTTCTTTTTCCGGTGTGAACAAAGCAGAGCAAAATTACTTTTAGGAGGCTGAGATTAGAGCACGTGTTCTAATTTTATACCAAAGCCACTTGGTTAACAATTAGTTAACAGTGATTTAGTTGTTTAATTAGTCCAACCTCAGTGCGTAAACACAGTCTTAACTACTGTTACTAACCGATACAGTAAAAAAAAAAACCACATCCTTTTAAAATACTTTTTTTCAATGACTTTTTTTAACAACGGCGCCATGACAACAGCGTGGTTAATACCCAGAACCAGAACTGCTCCAGAGCATGGATCTTTTCCAGCATCAGTGTAGTTCTTCAGCTGCAGTGCCACTTTGTTTATCGACGTACCTTGAGAGTATAGACGCTCTGTTGGTCCCCTCTAACGGTGCTTTCTTGAAGGAGAAGGTCTCCATTTCATCCTTTTTCGAAGATATGTTATTTTATTAATCCAAATGTGGAAATAGTGCCTCTCAGTTTAAGTGACACTTTGATTGATTTCAATTGACAATAACTGTCAAAGCTCTGCAGAAAGTTATGATTTGATAATTATTATTTTTAATTTTCCGATGATAAATTTATCGTCTTATGGACCACATTCAGCTGCATCACATCATCAGACTCTACGACACAGACCAGAGCCCTGCAGCCCTGCAGGCATCACACAAACCAACTGCTGTATGGGCAGTTTGTCAATTTTTATTATCTATCCACTTGTTCCATGGAGCCTACAGTCGACAAGGGTTCACATGACCACTGCTCAGCACAAAAACCGCTCAGAGCCACGGGTGGGAAAAAAGCAGCATGTGACACCTGACCCAGGAGACAGCGCTGTGCTCCTCCATTGATGGCAGACCTCAGACTGTTGACTGAGTGAAGACCACCCCAGATGTTGCAGTTGATCTTACAGGCCTGGCTCAGTGATCGAGCCACATGGTGGCGCCCAGCTAACCACAAGTAACACACCCAGCCTTTTGCTAATCACGAAGGCCAATACACTCAGTCGTTTGTGCTTCTTCAGCTTGGAGAATGACAGGAAGTTCACTAATCGTCACTGACAGGTTGGAACTCCTTCACTTTGATAAAGGGTGTCTTTAAGGCGAGCTACTTTTTATCCTTATCTAGTTTTTGTTAACACACTGACTTACCTTCACCTTATTTTCCAATTACATTTCCAGTAACCTTTTCCCTGTTAAGGATGATTTTAATATTTATGTTTTTGGTTAACTTTAAGCTAATTAAGGCAACATTTTAACTAATTTTAACATTGTTTTTGTGAACATATTTTATCACTTCATTTTGCATTCAGGTAATTCAGATACTCCATAATCGTTGTCCTCACGTTCATACCGTGACAGTAAAAGACCCCCCGCCCCCGAGCTGTTAAGAAAACATCTGAAGAAAATATGTTCAGCTTGACAAACATTTCCAGAATGCGTCCCACTTCTCACGAAACTATTTTAAACACTACATCCTTTTGCACTCACACAATGACAGTGTTTACCATATAAGGACACACAGGTGAAGTGATTCCATTGGATTTACTCATTAAATGTTGGTGTCCTTAAAGCCAACCTTTAAATGCATTTAATGAAGTATTGTAGCTTAGATTAGTGGTTCCCAAAGTGGGGGACATCATCCTCCATGGGGCCAATATGAGACCAATATGAAGTCAGTTTGCGTGACTGGATGGTGAGTCAGTTTTGTACTCTACCTATTGTACTGTGACCCCTTCGCTGCCAGACCACTGACCCTCACATTCTTAAATGTTCTCTTGACCTATACTGAGAGAACAAGAGTTCTCCACTGATTGTTTGAAACCATTTAGCACCTGAGTCATTAGTAAGTCAGGTTTTGAAGGTCAAACTCGGCTAAAGTGTTTTCAAGAGACTCCAAAGCCAGATTTCTCCTGGACTTGTGGGTGTCAGAGTGAACCAAAAATCAATTTAAGGGCCAAAGAAGACATGCTTACATCCTGCTGCAGGTTGCAAATGGTCAGGTTTGTTGAAAAGGACCATTTTGTGGAGCCGTTCTGAGCTACAGAACGAAAGGATTTAAAAGATATCACCTCAGAAAAGTTCAGGAAATATTTTTATGTGGTTAATTGAACACGGGGCATTGACTGTGGAGGTTTACAGTAGACATGAAGATGTATTCGGTCATATCTGAGGGCGTCTTACTCATCACTTAACCAACAGTCTCTGAGCTCGACAAATTTGGAGAAAAGAAACTGATTCTGAGGCACAGAACTAAATGTTCTCTGACAGGAAGTCGTACAAAGCCGTGTTGATGTCCTTGATCCTTATCACTCACTTAAAAGAAGAATATACTTTTTAAAAAAATTGAATAGTTTTGTAACTTGGACATAGCCATAGTATAGTTGATGTAAACAAGAAACCACAAACACTGCAGGACTTAACTGTGAATTTTATCGTTTTTATGTTCCTGCTCCTCAGGCACTGGCTTCTTGTGCACAATGACTTTTTGTTGAGGAAGGTTGTTCAACTTATTTTCCCAGAGAGTCACGCTACAACCATGGACTATAAACACGCACTGTACTTTATACACTTTGTAAATGTACACTATGCTGTTCGCTCTTGTTGTATTCTAAACTTCAGCCACAAGATGTCACACTTTGATCACAAATAGGAGGGCACCTGCCTAACGTTCCAGTTTTGATTTTGGCGTTTGGGCCCTTTAAAAAAATGATTATTTTCTGAGACTGTGTAAGTGATTTTGGTGATGGTGTTAATAACATTGGTACATTTTTATCTGATCATGTTAATGTGACCGTTGCTGGCAAAAACGTAATTTGAATAACGCACACATTTTAATCTGTTTGATACAACTGAACTTATTGAAATTAATAGAATATAATTTTTTTATAGCTTTATATTTGTTTTGAGACCCCAGCAAACACGAACAGAACGAACAGAAGGGTGAAGTTTATTTAGAGTTTATCCTATAAACTAAACATCATGAATTTGATAAATATTGCATCTATATATTCATGTCTGCTAAAATGTCTGTTAAAATGCATCGCTATGTATAAATACACATTTTTCAAAAGATTATTTTAAATATAGTAAGTAGTATACTCTTTTTTATCGTTGTGAATAAAAATGCATTGATTAATTATAGGGCATGTGATGGCTTTTAAATATTCCTAGACACAGCCAAACACCTACAAGTTGTAAAAATGTAGGCTATGCAAATAAATTCCCCCCCGCAGACGTTGTAACTCACTCACTACCAAAAGGCAAAGAGAGGGGACATAAATAGGTGAGGGGACCTTCTTTGTTCGACGTTTAGTCACCTCTGTGGCCCCTGGAAAACCATTAAACGAGGAGGACTTCTCCCAGGAGCCCAGCATTCCTCACATTCCGCCAGTGTGATGTCAGAGCAGAGGGAGGCATCTGGAGCTGCTGGTGCCTTCACGGACCAGACCCAGGCTGGGACGTATAGGCTTTGAACGTCTGAACTGATGTTTCTCTCAGAAGTAGCGGAGCTGCTTCACTTTGACCCACAAGTAAATAATTTTGTAGAACACGCTGTTGTTTTTTATATTTAAAGATGCAAAGATTATCTAAAAACTACAGAATGGCTGAATATAAGCCAATATACCATTAAATTGTACTGCAACATTTTTAATTTCTGGAATTAATATGAACTTCGACCACCCCAGAATCATCTGCCCTCTCAGACTTTTTTCTTTACAAAGTTAAAATCAGAATTACAAGATTTGAAATTACGTTTCGTTAAAAGTCTGATAGTTTATAATCCTGTTTTAATATCATAACAACGTAAGCTGTGCACGCACTTTTCTCCTTCTGTAAGAATTCACATACTTCGTGTGGACAGTGAAGGCATCATCTGCTCCTCTTCCCTCTGCTCTGAACGCCTCCATTGGACTAAAGAGAGAGACGACTACTATAAACATACAAGAGTCCAAGAGGAGACGACCGGACAAAGTCAGAGTGAAACAACCCAACTTTTATCACTTTTTTAACCATTTTAGACTGATTTCTGAACTTTAATCCCCGTGTGTGCCGCTGCGACGTCTTCATACCATGCCATCGTTTTTGAGAAACTTTTTTTTTCTCTTTTTGTTGCTTAAGAAGTAACAACCATTTGTGTCTGGAGTTTGTGATTTTTTTTGCAGGATATTTTCCCGCTATTTGAAATACGACATGGGGAATAAAAAGTTGCTGTGATACTAATTTCTCCACATCGTCGACCAGAGAAGTTTCTCCAGCGGTGAGCAGCAAACGGCATGTAGCTCAGGCTCCACGGTGAGTGTATAAGACACCAAAGGGAGAAAAAATCACCAAAAATTAACTTTCAGCCTAAGTGTTTTTTTATTTATATATTTTTGTTTCTCCCAAAACCGTTGGTGAAGTGAAGGCTTTTTGTTTGAAAATCTCAGTGAGTAGATTTATTTGTAGGCCAAATGCTTTGGCCACGTAGAGCAGACTGGAGATCCCAAATAATTTCATGCCACCCCTCCTCTTCTTCTCCTTCTGCTTCTCCTCCTCCTTCTTCTTCTGCGTCGCATTCATGTATATTTAATGTCCTCCAAATGCCTTTCCTTTGCCTCCATGTAGTAAATATTTGACCTCAGGGTTAACCTTGTGGGAGATGATGCCAGAGTCACACCTTCTCAGATCTGACCTGCCGTCATGGTTTATTCATAGGATGCCTTACCTTTGGGTTCCTGATCTTTAAGACTCCTGAAGGAGCCAGGTGTTTTGGCCTCCTGTTGGGTGGATTAGGTCAGAGCTGGTGTCAAGTCTGGAGGTGACATTTTCTCCACTTTTTAAAGAAAAAAAAACGTTTGACTTATTTTGCTGCTGATGTTTGAAATGAACACAGCCACTCACGATGTGTTAAAACACAGCTGATGATTGCGCATCCCTTCTCTCTCAACCTGCCCAATGATGACATGATCACTTTGTTATTGAGCAGTTTGTCCTGTCCTCACACCCTGCATAGGTGTTTGTGTGAGAGTATGTGTTGGATGTGTTTGGACACGCATCTCCGACTTCCTCAGCTACAGTAGGAAGAAGGAGTTCTGTCGAGGAGAAGAAAAAAAAAAGGCAAATATAGCATAGCTGCAGGAGGCGTAGACTCCACACGCACACACACACACATCTGGCTGTCTTTATAAGCTCAAAGGCATGTTGTGTAAATTATATGGTGCCGGAGCGGGTGGCTTGGGAGTACACAGCAGTTTTAAAACACTGGTGGAGAATTTAAAGTACCAAACGTCAGGGCCGTGCTTTTAAATCCTGACTCCTCTTCACCTCATGGTCAAGTGTGTTTCACAGACACACTCCTCCGCCCTCGCGTGTAAAAACAAACGAGAAGTAGCTGAAAGGCAGCATCCGGAGGAGGCCCGCTTTGTGTAGGGTTAACATGCTAGAGGAGTTTAATGTTTGTTTACTGCACAGTGGGAGTTGGCGTGTAAAAGGAAAAGTGGCTATTGTTTATGAAGACACTGGTCATTTGAGTCTTAAAGGCCATATGATTACTATGTTGAGACGGAACATACCTGTAATTTTGGTCAAACGTTTATGCCATAGCACAGGAAGAGAAGGTGGAAAGAAAAAAAGAATTAGCCAGCAGCAGCAGCAGCAGCAGCAGCAGCAGGTATTGTTGTCACAGTTTAAAGCAGCATCATTAGCAGAGAACAGTCTCCTGTTTTTCTCCTGGAGACTCACCACAGCATGTTGTGCTGAAAACTAAACTGTGCAAATTTAAAAACATATTAATGGGACTGAGATTTCCACTGGCCACAGCAGTATTGATGGTACGGAGCCCGGATCATTCCGGGGCCAGACCAGGGCCGCTGCATCTCTCTAGTGCTGTGAATTGTTGAATTACTGGTTAATAACTTACTTTAATAAAATTCAGCCTACTTTGCTTATAGGGAATGTCCCTTTAACACAGGACATGCAAATGATGTCAACTCTGAGTGGATTGCGTTCCAGTTGTGATGTTTGGAAAATCTGGACTCACAACTAGAACACATTGGTCACACAGGGCTGAAAAAAATGCAAGATTAACAAAAACAACTTGTAAACAGTTGTGTTGGACATTTGACGGTTGACGGCGTGTGTGTGTGTGTGTGTCAGTGTGTTGTCGCCTTTTGTCAGGAGATCTGTAGAATTGTGCAAGTTGCGGGATCTTTGGCAGCTGGGAAGACAAGAGCATCAGGCGTGCTGCGACCTGTCCAACTCTCCCACACTCCAGCCTCAGTCACCAGATTCACCAGACAAACACATCTGATCAGAACACACACACACACACGTAGCGATGCAGCTGCAGTAATCGATCACACCTTTAGTTGTAATCCAACATCAGGTGTTTGAAGAGATGCAGATTGGTATTTCTGTTCCTCTTCTGGACTAAGTCTCAACCTCACATCTTAATCTGTACCATTACTGGAGGCTTGACTAAGCAGATCACCCAGCATTCCAGTGGGAGAGAGGCTGTTCCTCTGTATTTACTCCACATACCAACTCTCCGCACTGCTGCACCACCACAGTTGCAAAGACGAAGCCTGACATTATAAAAAAAGAAAAGGATTTCAGAAAAGAAAAAAATAACAAAACATTTCTCAGTGCAGAAAAGATTCACTTTAAGACAAACTACTGCAGAAGTTGCTGCACTTTTTTGCTTTTAAAAAAATGACCAGGGTACAAATGACCTACCTTATATTGTAAATATGTTCTTACTTATGTAAGCAGAATTTATTTAAATAAACATTTTTGTAGTTGTTGTTTTTTAATAACTGCATGTGTGTGTGTGGCTATGCAGGGGTAATTTTAAAAGGTAATTATTATGTAATCAACTGCAGATGAAATTGACCAATCAGGCTGCTTTTTCTTTATAGCTGTGATGCTGCTGCTGCTGCTTTTAAAGCGCCTGTATCTCTTCCCATGATGTGGTCGACTTATCAGTCCAAATGTCTGGCCTCAGACACTTTGTTTTTCCAGTAAGGAAGTGTGCGTGTCATCCCAACAGGACATAAACGGGGAGATTTTCCATTTGATGTCTACGTGTGAATTTTCCCCGTTCCCCACGGCTGTCGTGTGTTTTTTAAGATGCATCCGGATGTCAACAGTAGCCGACCCAAAGTGTTGCTGCTTTCATTGGCCCATAAACTGACTGCCATTGAAGTCCCTGTTAGTGTTTGTGCTCCGGGCTTCTGCTGTGAGAAAACACTCCTCAGTGGCTTTTGGCTTTCTTGGTGATGAAGTGTGTGGAGTCGTATTTGCGACTATGGTTTTTTTTGTGAGCGTAGTTCCCAGAAAGGGGGAGGTTGGGGTGGAGGTATATGGGGTGGGTGGGGTGGGCATGGAAAAAGTGAACAACAACATGGCCGGGCTGGAAACAGACACATGGGCCAGAAGGGTCTCATTGTGTTTCTGTTATTGGGGAGGAGATTGGCCTGTGTCAGTCTTACCTTCAATGTTGACTCACTTGCCCCCCCCCCCGTCTCTTGAACAACTGTACCAACATGATAACAGCGTGAGAGCCATGGGTGTCACATCTCCTTCTGTCTCTTTTTTCCCAGGCTCCCACTTATCTCGCAGCCCTTATTTTTCTCTTTTGGTTACGTTGGGAATCACCAGCGCTCTGTCAACATCCACGCAAACACATACACACACGTGCACATTTACACGCTGTAAAAACCAATTATTCTTCTCAGCCATATCTTCAACTATCCCTGCATCCGTTACTAAAATCCCCAGTAACTGTGCCGCAGGATGAGTCGGCAGAGCTGCGTCATTGTCGGTTTGGAAAGCCGTAGTCTCTGGTCAGTGTGAAGCTGTGTTTGATTTTTTTTTTTTTGATCCTCCCACTGTGTTTTATAATGTTCTATAGTGACACTGTTTAGACAGTTGTGCCAGGTTGAAAGACTGGTCACTGCCTACAGTGAAACATCACTGTAGGCAGTGACCACATGATATACATTCAGTCGGACTTTATGATGTTTAGCTCCACAAAGAAACCCATGTTTTTACTGGTCACTCAGACTGTTTTAAATGAGGGTATATACAACTTTTTTTGGGAAGTTTTAAATCTGATGAATACATTTTCATTTCTCTCTCTTTCTCGCTCTCTCTCTCTCTCTGTGTGTGTGACTGTGTCCCGATTCAGACAAGACTGTCTGGGTGTCACCCCTGTGTCTGTCATCATCACTGTGTTCTCGCATAATGGAGGGAATGTGTTTATAGTGTGTTTGTCTGTGTGTCTTTTTCCACGTTCCAGGCCTTAAAGGACATATTTAAAAGCTCATCGTGAACTGCAAATACTTTGCTGCTAAAATTGGTGTTAAACTGCAGTATAAAATTTAGTGAGAAATCTAGTTCCTGTGCTTATGGAACAAGAACAACCGGTATTTGTGTGATATCTTTGTGTCATACAGTGAACAGAAGAGAAAATTGAAAGTGAAAAAGCAGATGCGTCTGATAGAAACACAATGTCTGGCCGCCTGGCTCTGCCATCTGTTGCAGCTGCTCGTGTTTGTGTGTGTCAGACAGTATGTTTGTGTGCGTGCGTGTGCTTGTGAATGTGTGTGTGCGTGGGTGTGCACGGAGAACTGTGTTTTTGTGAATACAACAAAAAGTACACCACATGTCTGGGATTAGATACTCGTGTCTATTTGTAAATAGGGGAAATATAAAGATTATATATGGAACAAATTGCTCCCCGAACACACATGCACGTGCACAGATGGAAACACAGATTGGCCAGTGTCAGATAACAAAGAGTGGCCTGGTCTAGTGTCCTGCTGTCCCTCGATTGTGCATGCAGAAAATGTGCAAATGTCCTTTAAACACATAAAATGTTGAAGGTTTATTTCTCAGACAAAGAGACTGATCCTGATCCAGGGTCAGCTCCCAGAGGCTGCTCTCGCTCAGACAGACTTTGGCTTTATACGTCCAGGAATGTGTGTGTGGACCTCAGAGCCGTGGTTCCCCCAAAATGTCTCACCGCTGAGCTCAGCGGTAAAGCCAGCAGGTCACAAGAGGATCAAAGAGCTAAGGCGATTTTGAAAACATCAAACCAAATCTGGCTGTTTGAGTTCAGACGGTTTTAATAGTGAGTTCACCATCTTTAGTCTTAGCTGTAGGAAAGCACAGCGAGGAACCAAACATCCAGAGTAGCATCTAGAGGAAGACGGTGACTTTGCTTCAACATTTTGGATTATTCCCTGAGAAGTCGTTATAAATTTTGCAACTATCTTTGGCTAACCTTTAAAACATTCTGACCTTGTGTGATCTCAGATCTCTCTTTGACCATAACAATGTAGAAAGCATATATTTTATATTATATATGAGTTTTGTTTTTTCTGCTCAAGCCTTTCACTCAGGTTCTGCAGAGGTTAAATATATTCAACACTTCCATGATGAGAATTTAAGTTTATGACATCAGTTCATTGTGAGACGATCGATGGAACTGTCCATTAGAACGTCTTATTTATTAAACAGCACGTTTGTGATTTACATTTACGTGGTCTGTATAAATGAAATGTGTGGATTTCTGTGTGATCCAGTTTTGGTCCAAGTTCCACAGATTGGATCACAAAACTGGAACAGTAGTTAAATGCTGTGAAGCACTTCACCCATTCATTTTTTTACTACAGTGTTCATGCGCCCGCGGGCGTCACGTCAGGGGTGGGGGGGGGGGGGGGGGGGGGCTTCACTTCAGACAGACCAGCAGCAGAGATTAAATTGATTGAGTTACACACGCTACACTTGTGTCATGGTCTCTTGTCGGCCCTAATGATCTTAGTGGTGAGTGAAAAACGGGGCCGTTTTGTTATTGCCATTGTGTGAGCGTGAATGAAGCGACAGACGGGGGGAGTGGGGGGAGGGCACTCAGCACCAGATCAGCAGCTATATCCTATATCCTGAGTAGAAATTATAAGTAATTATATGAAGTGGGTATAAAAACATTTACACCCTTTTTTCTATAACATTGACGCCAAAATATTTGGTTTCTGTCTTTTAACGCTTTTGTTTTGATGACTTGAATTTGTTGTTAAGCTAAAAATCTGTTCTTCTTCCTTATCCAAATCTGGCAGCTGGTGTTTGTTGTTGCTCATAAATACATCCACTTTGACAAAAAAACAATAGCATAGACGAGCGCCAAGCTGGTCAAGTTGCGGCGCTTAAGATCTTTAATTTTTAATCTATCTAAAAACATCCTCGCTCAGGGTGAAATTCCTGTATAAAATGATAGTAAAAGAGGCCATAAGATCTTTCCTTTCACCTTTTTACCCTCTGCCACACCACTTCTGGCGACACAGGAACCAACACAACAAAGACTGCACTGGTTTTGTATATATTTAGTTAAAACTCCCCATCCTAGAAAAAGAAAAACAACCTTCATCCCTCAGTTTTCCCTCTCGTTTTCTCCACGCCACAAAATTACAACGTGCAAATTCATAAACGTATATGCTGTTTTTACACGCTGGAAATAAACACGATGGTCAGGAGAGAATGTCACTGCCGTTTTTTTTTTTCTCCTGCTTGCATCGAGGAGTGGGTTCGTTCCCAAGCTATTGTCTGTCCGTCTGTCTGGTTTGACTCAACCACACACTCCCAAAACCATGCCACAGATTACTAGTTTGGAGTTGCACTAACTGCTGTCTGGTCCTTTGGCTAACCTCTGGAGAACCTGGTGGGTGTGTGTGAGATCTTGTGTATGTGTTGGTGTGTATTTGTGGTGTGCCCTGTTCATGCATGTCTATGTTTACGCTGCACAGTGAAAGTATGCGTCAGTATTTGCACCCTCGTGTGCTTATCTCCACACTTCTCTGATGCTGTTGGGAATAGGTTCGTTAGGGCAGGTTTTCCAGTCAGCCTGCAATGTCTCTTCCCTTAAGAGGAATCTGAGGGTCTTTGGTCATCAGCGTGAACGTCGGGACCACGATTACCATCCTTTCCAGTGCAGCGATGGTTTAGTCACACACGTCGTCAGCCGATTATTCACTTTTCTTGTTGTCGCATGCGTTTGCATTGTTGTCGAAATTTAAAGCAAACTCGTAAATAAGAAAACGCTTCACTATGGTGAGCTGTCGCGAGAGGATTCACCAGTGAGGAATGTGTTGTGGTCCACAGAGCTGTTGCAAGTGTGGAGCAAGTGTGATTCAGACTGTAACAAACAACACACGGCTGTTAATCAGTGGTGTGTTGCTTCCTGGCTTCTTTCATTCAGGTCTCACTTGCTTGGGTCATTTTTTTCTTGCACTCACTCAGGCTTGTCTCCCTCTCTCTTTCTCTGCCTCTCTCTCTCTCTCTCTCACTCACACACACACACACACACACACACACACACGCGCGCGCGCTTGCTCCAACTTCCCTTGCAGTGCATACTTATGTCAGGTGTGCTCTGTTTTTCCAGTCAGGGTAAAAAGGAATCTGGGCCTGAGTCCAAGCTGACTATCAACAGCACATTGCCAGAGAGCAGGACAAGAAGCAACACATCCATTCTGTTTTTACTCCTCCTTTTCCTCTTCCTCCCCCCTGTCCCCCCGCTCCTCTTCTCTTATGATCACTAGAGCATTGACATACCATAGTTTGACTTTCTTGTTTCAGTTTTTTTAACCACCGTTTTTTTGTACTAGTAGCTGGATCATTTACTTAGTTTTACCAGTTGTTTTACCTGTTGTTTTACCTGTTTGACCTCCCTGAATAATTTGGAACCTTGTTTTTTGTAGCACCATCTAACAAAGCCATACAGTAGGATTCATCAAATATTAGAATGTTTCTGTTTTTCCACAGTGGGAATTGTACAAAAATTCCAAACATCCCCTTTATTTCACATTTGATTAAAATCTTCTTTTTTTTACTGATTTGGATGTAAAAAAGTTACAATAAAGTTGTTCAGTTTTGGTGCAACTTTTAGTTAATTGCATTAAACACAATTAATTTTCTTGAATTGGAAATTTTATTTAAAAACCAAATAAATGTGTTATTGATGTTATTATGACATTAAGATCTCTACGTGACGTGAAGTCAGACTCAGACATTTTTTTAATGTTTTTCCTTCCTTGTGATGTTGGAGCAATTAACACATTTATGAGTTTCCTATTTTGTGGCAGCGGCAGACACACGTGTGTGTGTGTGTGTCTGATCTTACACACCAGTACACTCTAGCTACAGTTTCTGCCTGTGCTGCTGCTGTTGCTGGAGAGAGAGAGGGAGGGCAGATAAAAAGGAAAATGAAAAGCTCTCCCACACAGGCAGATATGAGACTTTAGGAGCTCCATTAGCTCCTCAAAGCCAGCTGCCAGGTTCAGATGGATGTCTGCTCTCTGCTGTTTGATGTCCAATCATCCATAGCCTACAACTCTGCCTCAGTGGCCCAGCTCTGCCTGACACTGGGGCCTCACGTGGCTGCAGACGGTGCAGCTGCCATCGTTGTCTGGTGTTGTACTGGTCCTGTATCTGTAACTGCAGGATGTTCGACTACGGCTGCTGTCACGACTGATTCTGTTAGACTCAGATCTCTTCTTTTTTTACCCCTGTCTGTTTGGGGGAGGCGGGCAGGATGATGAAATACAGAAAAATAACCTGGGAGACTTTGATAAGAGGAATGTTTGTAGACTAATCCTTGTATCGTTCCCATCTCTCCCTGCAGCACTTGATCTTCCTCCTCCTCCACATCATCACAGTCGTCCTCCTCTCGGGTCATCTTTGGGAATGGGCCAGCGCCTTGCCAGGGTGCATCTCTCCACCCGCTGGTGTGGCTGGCGTCGCGCAAGAGTGAGGGGGGCAGCGGCCAGGTCATAGAGCCGGCCCACCCCTCTCTCCACACTCGCTTGCTCCTGAGTGACTTTTGACCTTTGACTCTGCCGCGACCTCTGGCCAGCCATGCCCTTCCGGCTGAAGCTGCGGCGCACGCGGCGCTACAATGTCCTGAGCAAGAACTACTTTGTGACCAGGATTCGCCTGCTGGACAGCAACGTGATTGAATGCACCCTGTCAGTGGAGAGTACAGGACAGGAATGTCTGGAGGCGGTGGCTCAAAGGCTGGAGCTGCGGGAGGTATGTTTATGATGGCACACGCTTTGACTGGGTGATGTCTCATTCAACGTCTGCCAGGAATTTTATTTGTAGCCTTAATACAAATATTAATTACGTTAATTATCTGCATAGATGTTAAATTATTATGACACCCGTCAGAGATAAATGATGCTAGTCATTAAAAATGTTGAGGTTGTGACCTGATGGTTTCCTTTCATCACATATAATTTAAGTTTAGTTTCCTCCCTATTTATCCATCATCATATCACACACGAAATGATAAACTTTAAGTTCCAGAATAAAAGACAAACAAAAACAAAGACAGAGTAGGTGTGCGATGTCAGAGGCGTTGGACTTTCACAAGGAAGAGAATACAGACGTGTTCCAGAGCTGCTGGGTCTGTGTGGGGTTGCCACGCGTCTTACTCTCACCCTGCATATGTCTCACTGCCCTCACATGTCTCTCTCCTGCGGGGACTTTGTCTGCGCCTAACGAAGCATGGCTACCTCTGTCCTCTTTTCACTCTGGAATAAAAAGACACTGGTCAACTCCCCCCGTCTGTTCCCTGCCATCACACTGCTCTCTCCGTATTCCTTCATGTTTTATAACTTTATAACCTTCACATTCAGACAGGCTCCTCCTCCACCTTTGTCTGTCAGTAAAGTTTCAGTTTTGTCTTCTGTGCGTGTCAGGTGTGTGTGTGTGTGTGTTCACAGATCAAACCAAGACTATCTGTGCTTCGCCGAAGGACGGTTGACTTTGATGGATGTGTGTGTGTTAAGTGTAAAAGTGTGTGTCTGCGCTGGCTGGGCTGAGAGAAAGGATTGATGTAGTTGTATGTACTCACATAGTGTCGTGGTATTTGCCAGGTGTCAGTGATGTTATAAATAAGGTGGTGTGACGCCTCGGCTGCAGACGCTGTCTGCCCAGTGTGTGTGTGTGTGTGTGTGTGTATGCCTCCCTTTCCTTTTGAATTAGTTGTTTTCATCTTTATTGCAGATCTGTGAGGCTGATCGTCTGTCTGTCTGCCTCTGGTTCCAGCAGCCGCAGCTTTTATCACTTTTATTACAGTAAAGTCACAGCACATGGGGGAAACAGGTGTGCTTTTTAACCCTCATGAAACCCTCATGAAATTCCCACCTTCTTACAACATTTTTAGGTGAAATTTTAGATATCTGTATGGATTAGGGTGGAGCTGCATCATCATCATCATCATCATCATCATCATCATCATCATCATCATCATCATCATCATTGATGCTTGACATGGGGGAAAAGAGACGACGTTTATCTTTCCTTAAAATCACGGCCTGCGTCTAAACCTTTCACCAAATCTGATGAACCAGGAAACATCCAGTTCTCTGCTCACACAGCACTGGTTTACGCCTCTGACACAAGGAAACACGAGTCATATTTCATGAATATCCATCGATCACAAACTGCAGATAAATTCCCCTCAGCCATGTGGGCCTCCTGTTTGTTTTGATTTGGTTAAAATTCCAAACTAAATGTGACAGGAAATTGTCCCAGGCTGCAAATCATGCATGTCCACACCTGCCCCAGATCTGTGATTACAGGCTTTGGCTGTGGCCTCTATGACATTAGCTGATCCCAGAGCTGTACTCAAACACTTGTGTTTAGATCCACTTCTTTGCCAAGTATAATTGTTTATTAAAACGCATCAAGTACTTGTAAGTTCCTGATAAGTTTACGTTAAACATTTTTGATGATGTTAGGACTATAATGAGTAAAAAAGATTGGATCTTTACTCACTTTTTATCACCAGGGGAAATTTTACTGCTCGTGTCTCTGGGCCAATATTTACATTTAATAGACAGTGACGTCAGTGATGTAATCAGCTGCTATGAATCATCCCTCTTTTTTCTCAGTATTTAAATAGAAAAAACATTAATTGTCCCTCTGAAACTAATTTGAGGACCAGTCACTGTTCTCCTTCTTTTTCTTTCACATATATCACTCCTTCTTTTCACTGGTAATTACTTTGGATTTTCAACTTTTTATTGGCTTTTTATTATCGTTCCTAACACAATGACCAAATGTCCATTTCCTCCCTGCTCACAGACACATTTCTTTGGGCTGTGGTTCCAAGGGAAGACCCAGGCCCCGGTCCAGCGATGGGTTGAGCTGGAGAAACCCCTCAAGAAGCAGTTGGACAAATTTGGCAATGAGCCGCTGCTGTTCTTTGGCGTCATGTTCTACGTGCCCAACGTTTCTCGGCTGGAGCAGGAGGCTACAAGGTAAAGACTCAACTGACGAAATCAAGGATTATTTTACTTCACACTTTCTTGTCTCTGCAATTTTTTCAACTTCAATCACTAACCATTAAAATAAATCAATATATATATTATCATATATTGATATATATCAATATATCTGGTCCTTTTCGGCCAGACGGGCCTGTTCTACAGACACCGTAGTCGTGGGAAAGAGACTTCAAGATGTTAGTGTTTTGTTGACAACCTGCCAAAAACAGTTTTTGTCCTCCTCGTACAAACACACGTGAACGTCCAAACTTTCACACTGACCTTGCACGGAGCTGGTGAATTTACTGTTTCTGGCTCGCTGGACGTGTGAGAGTTCATCTGCAGGTCACAGCTGATGTTGTTGGCGTTTTTCTTGTAGACATTTTTGGATTTGAGATTTGTTATACGCTAATTATGTCTCAGTCGCTGATGTCACTCACTGTCTCCACGTGTGATGGACAGCAGAGGTCAGGAGTTTGTTGCACAGAGAGATCTGCTCTAGTAAAGAAGTGGTATTCTAGGAATTCTCTAAAGGCTTTTATGGTGTGTGTGTGTGTGTGCGTGTGTCCAGGGTTGTAGAGTTGAGGGGATTTGACGAGGCCTTAGGGACAATTTAGGAAACAATGGCTGCCTCATTCCTCCTTCTTCTTCTCCTCCATCTTCCTCTCCTTATTTTTCCTCATCTTGTTTTTTTTTTCCTCTTCCTTTTCTTCCTCCTTCCTCTTCTTCTCTTGTTCTCCTCTGATACGACCATTGTAAACAGTGCCTCAGAGAATTGTTCTGTTATCAGGAAAGAAAATCTGATCATCACTGCAGTCATTCATTTCACTCCCTTTCTCTCTCTCATCCTCTTTTGATTTTTTTTTCCCTTCTCTTTTCTTATGTTAGTCGGGAATGTTGGCACAGCCGTCCGGCGTAGGAGGTGGACCACACATTCCTTGCAGCAAAAGTGCTGGGGGTAAAGAGAGGGTGGGGGATGACTAGTTTACAAAAACAGACACACACAGACCCACATATGTACATACTTACGCTGCGCGCACCTCACACACTCCCTGCAGAATCTCTCTCAGAAGCCAGCTGCAGCTCCGTCAGAAGAGTTAGTCACAATACAGCACATTGTGAGCAGACAGCAGATGCTCCCTCAGGCAGACCCTTCCAAAAGCCCCATCATTTTTCTTCTGCCTGTTCCATTTGAAATCGTCTTTTACAAGTTTTTTTTTTTTACAAAAGTTCAAGAAGTTTTTGCCCGTCATTCTCATCAAAGGTTTTTTCCGGAAAGTCTAGAGTATTTTAAATTATGGTTTGGCAGTTCTTTTAACAACATTAGTTTTTAACAACATCAGTACTGGAATTAGTGTGATACAAATACCTGTACGTACCTTTGAGCTCTTTGTACTAGGGATGCACAAAACCCAACCCTGGTATCAGAGTCAGGTCAGATATTGATGTGCATTTTTAAAGTGACTTTAATTACAGGGATTCCATTAAAGTTGAGGCGATGCTTGTCCTTGTTTTTACACCACACCTGGACTGAAGGGGGTGCAGTCTGGGAGGCAGGCTTCAAAAGTAGAACGGGGTCGAGAGGTCCAGCAGAGGAAAGATCAGAGAAAGTTTGACACTTGGCAGCAAGTCTTTGGCTTTGTATGTTCTGATTGATGTTGTTGGCGTGTGCTGGCTGCATCTACAGATGTTCAAATTACCAGCTGGAATATTGACGTCTCCCATTCTGCTTTTTATATTTTAAAGTCGATTCTTCTTATTTGCACACGTGTGAAGTCATTTAGGAGACCTTAGATCAGACCAGAAAAGAAGAAATCTCAGGCATCTTTAAGGTATTAACAGATTAGAAGGTTTAGGAAGCAAATTGAATCAGATAACTCAGTGCCAGAAGTCAGACGGAGCCTTAGGTCTGTCTGTGAGTAAATGAGATTTAGTGAGAAAGTAACCTGAGTTTTATAACATGGTCAAGTCTTTGAAGTCCAGACTTCTCACCGCCTCACATGTAACCTGATACCAGATCTCCCAGTCTGCATGTCCATCCGTTCATCTGTTTCTCCTTCCTCCTCTTCCTCCCTTACATGCAGCTGTGAAATCACCCAGAGCTGGGGTGAGGGTGAGGGTGAGGCAGGTGGGGGGGTGGGCTGGTCTGGGTCGACCTTTCTCTCTGTGTGTTCAACTAACATACAATTATAAAGCAGTAATCCAATAACCTAAAAAAAACCCTGGTGCTTATGTAAACAGTAGATGAAATATGTAGATATTGAACTCAAAAGAAAACAAAGGATGATCAGAGGAATCCAACCGTCTGACAGCAACTGTCACATTTATCTCATTTTCACTCATGGCTTTATTTACTCTTCTCTTTATCACATACTTAATCAGTCATACATCTGCAGTGTCACCTGTGGTTTCAGGACATTTGAGCAAAAATCTAAGATTCCAGACTAATTTCTCCATACAGCAGTGTTTTTTGTACGTGCAGATGAATCCTTCTCTTCCATCTGTCTTCTTCTGGTGTGAAGGAGGAGCACAGTGGCCCAGAGAGAGAAAGTGAAGAACCTAAACACAGAGAGCTGTTGACCAGAGTGAGACCAGCTGACCCCAGTAGCCCCCCCCACCCCCACCCCCCAGGCTACCAGCACCAACAGCCTTGAAATCCTAGCTTTGTGCGTCTAGTTATCACTCGACATACACATACGACACACACACAGTTTACTGTTGTTGCTGATTCAACAACATTTCAAAGTCAAACCCTCCATCCTCCCACACAAACCTGCTGGACCCACCCCAGGGCTGAGCGGGGCAGTTAGGGTCATACCACTGCAGAGACGGATGGGTAGAGGGGGGATGGGGCGCACGCACGCACAAACAGTTTTATTCATGCGTGCACACATGCTCGTAGGACTGTTGTCCAGGCTGCTCGGACATCTGGCAACACGTCTCGTAGCAGACGTGAACATGCGTGGGCACATAAAGAGCTCTTTGTGCCTGTGCGGCTGGCTGCAGTGCCAGCAGAGCTCTCTGCAGCCGTGCGTCTCAGTGTGGGGACCTGCCACCTCATGTCTGCATGTGCACGCTCACCTGTTATTACAGCAGGACACAAACCTGTCATTCTGACATGCTGTACATGCCAGGTGTGAGGAGTGTGTTCAGACTAAAGGAGCGGGAGTTCAGAGTTGGTCATATTCAACTATTTCAGGGGCAAATTTGAATATTTTTAAGAGTTTGAGTTTTTAAAGACCCTATTATAAAACCACTCATTTATTTTCTTTTTCTTCAAGACGTGCGACTTCACAGTCCAGTAAATATTTTTAATATGCAAGTTTTACAATGTGCAGGATTTTCTTATTTGATTTTAATTTTCCTCAGGACAATTAAAGACTGTTTTTTAAACATTTGGATTATATTGGATAACTGGATAATTTTTCAACTTGGTTAATTTTCTGGACCATGGTCATGGGTCATAACCTTGCTTCAAATTTCAGAAGTCGAAATAATTCTTGTCTGCTCTTATAAAATGGTTTGTGGCTGTTCTGTGTGAACTGGGTTCCGTCATAAGGAGTTTTTTTTTTAATAGCCATTCCTTGTCATGCTTTCACTTGTTTCTTGCATCCTGCTCTCCACAGCAGGCTCCACATTTAAATAAACACCGTCATAGTGCAACTATTCACCTTCAGGATGAGGAGGTTACCTCAGCATTTCTGCAGGTCCTCCTGTGGAGAGCACCGGTGAAACATGGGGAGTTTGTAAAAAACCGAATCCACAGTCATGTTGAAGACTTTGACTCGGACCCCTCCCCTCCAGACCGCATAGGACCCCGCCCCCCTCTGTTGCAGCCGCAATGGTTGAGGTTGGCTAATTAGAGGGTTGCCACGGGAACGGAATGGCAACTCAGCCAACGGGTGTAATGACAGGGTGAGTGAGGAGGGCGGGGTCAGATTATAGGCCTAGGTCGACTCCTAGAGGAGAAGTAACAGAAGGGGGAGAAAGTATGAAAGAGAATATCAAACATGGAGGAGGTGAGGCAGAGAAAAGTGGAAAAATTAGTAAAACGCAAAACTAGAGAGAAGCCTGAGTGTTGGATGAAAGACAAGGACAAAATGAAACCAACGGGGAAAAAAATAATTTGAGGCACTGAGTGATTTCTGTGTTGTAGAGGAAGATGACGAAGCATGTCGAGTTCGGTGGTTTCCACATGGAGGTTTGTCTACTCTGGCATGGCCTGTCCCATTTACACTTCCTCTTTGGGACCCTGTGTGTGTGTACGTGTACGTGTGTGTGAATGGATGTCAGAAAAGGTGTCTCACAGCCCACATTGGAAAGACTGAGCCCATATTCACCATGACAACCAGCAGGAAACATTTTTTTTTCTCTCTCTTCTCTGTTTTCACTCTGCAGCTCAGTCCGGTCACCTCCACAGTCCTCTCTCTCCTCCTGTGTGGTCAGTCCATTCTCAAAAAAAGGCCAACGTCCAGTTGGACCACAGCTAAAAGTGGACAAAAGGAGCTCAGAAACTTAACGAGTGTGTTTTATTTCAGCCACTCGGTTTCAGGGACTGACATTGTACCGCATTTAGTGAAGCCTTCGAGTGGGCTCAACCATCCTAACAATGTCATCATATCACTTTACACTTGGCAAAACCACCTCTGCCCCAAACCACAGGGGCATGGAGTTCCAATATGCCTCCCATTCACACCACAATTATATAAATTCCACTTCTCTCCAGCTGGGGTTGTTCCCACTTAAAATTAAAGCCGTACTTTATTAGAACCAGCTCCGTGTCACATGCCTGGTATTTGCTGTGAATTTACACACCTATTAAATCATTTTGTTTTGCCTCCGCTGGTATACTTCTGGCATTCTTCAAGAGTCAAAAATGAGTCACTGGTGTTTTGAATAGTAGAGGTGAGTCACTCGTTTCTCCATCGGAATTGGAAGAGGCTTCACTGGTAACTACTGCTGTTGCCAGACCTGACACGAGCTAACCAAGACACACACACACACATATACATGTGTCAGTACTGTAGGTCCGTCAGTTACTAATACGCAGCGCCCCGTGCACCACGTCTCTTACTTTCTTTGGCGAATGTTTTGAACAGAGACCCATCATGTTTTCCAGCTCGATTTAGCATAATTGGTGTTCAGAGACAGTGTGGCTAGATGGAAAAATAGCATTGACCACTGACCGATTTCTGGTGAATTCCTGAAAGCCAGTACGATTGCCTATTCTACCACCCACCTAGACCCAGTGGAGCTGGTAGACAGGCTGTGGTATGCAACCTGATATATAAAAATAAGACTGGCATCTTACAGTAAATGCAATACTGTGAAGTGAATGCCAACATCAGCATGTTAACATATGACCATAATGCAGCCATAACAGTGATGCAGGCAGGATGATGCCTCGCAGGAACTGTATGTTTGACATTTTCTCCATCTGAGTTGAGCTAACTGCTAACCTGCTGAAGACAGTGAGGTCGGCAGGGGTTGAACAACCAAGTGTGCAAGAAAATGGAGTCAAATTATTCTTATTGCTTTTGCCAGAACAAGGAGTAGAAGAACCTGTCTGCAAAGCCACGAGTTTCAGAAAGGTCATTTTTTTAACATTAATGTTACTTCAAAACAATTAAATAATTCAACATCAACATAGAGCAGCATTTCCTGTTTAGTTATACATGGATCGTATTCATGTGAGCTAATATAAACCTGGAACCTCAGACTTCCATAATGGCGACATGACTGATTCCTCTATGGAATCTCACTGAAGTTATTCTCTCTTTCAGATACCAGTATTACCTGCAGCTGAAGAAAGAGGTGTTAGATGGACGTCTCCACTGCACAGTAGAGCAGGGGATCAGACTAGCAGGCCTAGCAGTACAAGGTAACACACACACACACACACACGTGTACGCACAAGTAAACATTTCATGTGGATAACAGAGAGAGACAGACGGAACAAGAGAGGGTGAACATAAACTCACACTTTCTGAGGTCATCTTGACTTCACTGCCTAATATGGCTGCATACCAGTGGGAGAGCCCGGTCCACTTGAGTTCCTATGGTATCAGTCTCAACACCCACACACACACACACACACCGTCCTACTAGTCCTTCCTGGGTGCTGTCTGAGTCTCTAGGGGAATGTAAACAGACAGTTAGCTTATCATCCAGTTAGCTCCAAGGTTGGTCCCAGTAGCATCAGGAAGACTCTTATCTGTCTGAAGGCAAGGATCCTTCGCCGTTCTCTCTGTAGCTCCGTGGCTCTGGGAGGCACTTCCTACAGCAACTGTAGTAATTGAGTAAATAATGGGTACTTAGTTATAGTTAAAATGATCAAGGGACAAACCATAGATCATTTAATAATAATGAAAAAATAAAGTAAAACTTAGTTGTCAAAATAAATGAGATGGTAAACATATAACTCAGAATACACCTTTAGTGCGACAAACCATAGATCATTTAATAATAATAAAAAAATAAAGTAAAACTTAGTTGTCAGAATACACCTTTAGTGTTAATGTAGAGTGCAGTGTTAGAAACACTGTTAAAGTGTGCACGTTTTTCTGACTTTCAGCTGACTTTGGAGATTTCACCCAGTTCATGTCTCAGGACTTCCTCAGGGAGTACGTGCTCTTCCCAGTGGTGAGTCCCTTAATCTTAACTTAACGCCACTGTGTGTGTTTTCATGTGTGTGTGTGTAAGAGAGATTTTTTTTTTCTGCGTGTGTGTGTGTGTTTTTCTGTGTGTGTTGCCTGAAGGCAGACATTCTTCGATCACCTGTGTTCCTCCTCCCTGTTCCAGAACAGGAGTGAGAGCTTGGAATGACATAAAGATTTATTATAGAACAGATGTGTTGTGTTAATGAAACTCAACTGTCAGTCTGCTCCACTGACAACTGTGTTATCTTCATTTTATTACAGAGTGTAATTCACTGTCATGACTACCGTTAAGACAAATGTTCACATTTCACTTTCACACTTCTTCCGATTTCACAATAACAAGTGGAAAATTGAATCTTTTTTATCCAAAATTTCAAAATTCACAAAAAAAAAAACAAAAAAATAATTTACCATCTCACTTGTCTTTCCTCCTCGCTGTCTTCTTTTCTACCTTTGACCAGAACTGGCCGACAGGAGAAGAAGTGCTTGAAGAGTGGACTCAGAAGGTTGCAGAGGAGCACAAGAGCCACTGGTACTGTTTAGGTTTATATTTATATTTAAAATTAAACAATTTATGTGTGCATCTCTGCTAACTGTGTCTTTTTTATGCACCTTCCAGTCGAATGCAGACTGCAGAAGCCGAGCTCTTGTACATCAAGGAGGTGGAGAAGCTGGATGGTTTTGGCCAGGAGAGCTTCGCTGCCAAGGTATAACACACCAACATGAACACATTCTTCTCCATCTCCTCCAACCATATTAACCAGAACCTTCTTCTCCCTGCAGGACAACTACACCAATGATATTTTTATTGGTGTGTCCTTTGTTGGCGTGTTTGTCAAACACAGGAACGGCAGATCCATCATGCTCCACAAGTAAATCAAGAACACTCTATTTTTATAAAATGAAAAAGTGTTATAGCATTAGAAGGAGTTTGTCTGTGTGGGAGAATGTAATTGTTCTGTGCTAATTACGCTCGTGTTTGTGTGTGACAGGTGGAAGGACATCGGTACTATAGCACACAACAAGTCAGCCATCACAGTGGAGATAACAAGCAGAGACGACACCATCGTTTTTCACATGGTTAGTGTTGTGTCTCGGGGTTGTGCGCACACACACTATTAGTACAAGGTTTCCAGTGGGAAGTGCTGAACAAAAACACACATTTCCTACCCACAGATAAATACAAGGATGAATATTTTCACAGATTTTTGTATCAAAACAAATGATTCCACAAGTCAAAAAAATCTTTTTTTTTGTCTTGTTGTGCTTGTTCCTGCAGGAGGATATGGAGATGGCCAAGTACATCTCTCGACTGTTCACATCTAGACACAAATTCTACAAACAGAACAAGATTTGTGCAGAGTGAGTTTTGAGGTCACACATAAAGGTCAACAGGTCACCTTTAAACTCCTGAAACGTCTATATTCCAAATACATTAGGTCTACCTTAGAAACAGTTCATTATATAAGCTGAAGGTGGCGCTGCTGGAATTTCTTGTTTTTTTTAGACGACAAATGAATTAACTACCTACTTAGTTGTTTTATTTTTATTTTGTCATTGATGTGTTTTCTCTTCAGGCCCACTCACTCACCTGCACCAATCAGGAGGAGACCCACCTGGACTCACCGTCTTTCTCTGGTAAAACAGCGTCTTCTGTCTCGAACACATTTTTGGTTGGTTTTATTACACAATCCTTTTTAATTGTGTTAGTGCCTCCAGCCTGTGTAAATTATTCCAAAAGCCTGGAGACAGTGTGGGGAGTGGAGAGAGAAGACAGAAACTGTGGTCAGGGTTCTGACCCTGCACTCCCACTCAGGGCAGTGCTTAATTGTTCCATGGAGCCTGGCTTTTAACGTGCTGTGCTGCTGCGGTGCGGTGGGTGTTGTTGGAAAGTCTGTAAGGGTGTTGCTTGGTCCGATTTCCGGTGTCACAATGAAGGCAGTGATTTGCACGTCTCCTTTTTTTGCTAGCCAGACAATGGCAACGCTAAAAGTGGCACAATGGCCGCTCAGTCGGCCCGGTGGCGTTCTCAGATGTCTGTGTGCAGAACCACAGGCACTGGAGGTTCTCAACTCCACAGTCTCAGAGTCATTATCACCTCATGATGTGATTATTCATTAACAGTTGCATGTGACAATGAGACTACTGTATATTTGATGGAGTGTGGGAGTTAATTCAACTGTTCTTAATTCATTATGTTCCATCCTTCCAGCCACGTCCTCAGTCCTGTAACTTCCAGTCAATGCATTCCCAGTACGGAGAGCCGTATCAAGACACACAGAGTTCTCAAGGTACGTGTGAAACACACGGTTGTCAGAGCGACAGCGTTAACCACAGCCATATTTATGATTCTTCCATCTTTATAACTGAGCTAATTGTGTTCTTCCCATCTGTCGTGTGACTCACTAACCATTTGTGTTTTAAACAATCTCCCAGTCAATTAAAGCCCAGCGGTAGGGGTGCAGAGCAGTGACCTCATGTGTGTGTGCCTCTCTCTCGCTCTCTCTCTCTCTCTTATTAACTTGTTCACACAGTGTGCTAACCCTGTGATCCAAAAAAGATGCTTCACAGTAAAACGACGCATGTGGAAAAACAGTTTGGGCGTGCTACTATGCAAGGGTGTGAGATCATTGGGTAGTGTGACCTCAGGCATCGCACACTGACTGTCTGTGCGGACAGAGATTGTGTTTGTCTGCCTACTTGTGGGCCTGAGAGACTTTTACACAAGATGAGAGAATGTCCCATTGTTAAATAAAACGTAACAACATGCGTACAACTCTCTGTTACGTTACGTTATGGTGGGAAGAAGAAGAATGTTTTAAATCCGCCCTCCTTCTTCTGAAGGAAAGTTTGTCGCTGCTCCACCAAAAAACCCACAGTGACAATTATCGTTACATTTGAAGAGTGCTGAAAATATGATTTATCTCTTAAACCAGCTACTGTAAACCCTAAATGTCATTTGGATCTTTATTTAACTGCAGAAGGACCTTAAAATAATTCAGTGACAATTTTAATTTAAATCAGAGGGGGTCATAAAAGTCCCAATTTGGACCGTGAAGTTATTATAATTTCTTAAACATAAGGTTTTGACTGCTCTAAATAAATATGCAAAATAACATTACCTACTGTACGTGAGATGATACTGAATTATTCATTATTTTTTGACTTCTTTGCTTCTGTTAAGATGATGTTTTGTCCCAGCATGACGTGTGCAAGCACGACCTTGTAGTAATGTTCACAAACTTTGTCTTTTCTATTTTTGGATTTGTAGACAGCATCTTTCATGACGATCCCTACTACAAGTCAGAAACAAGTTTGGATCGCTGCCCCTTGGACTTCCCTTTCAGGAATGGTACCGTGCCAAACGGCAGCATGTACAGCAGCCCCAGCCTGAGCTCCCTCAATCACTCCCAGACTTTTGTCCCACCCTCGCCGATATCTTCGAACCTCAGCATCCCAGGCAGTGAGCTCATGCGGCCCGACTACATCCCCAGCCACCGCCACAGTGCCATCATCGCTCCGTCCTACAGACCCACGCCTGAGTATGACACTGTGATGCGGCAGAAGCGGCGCATGCTCCCCACTCACCATGACCTCCACAGCCAATCGCTGCGGAGTCTGAACATCAGTAACGCCTGTGCATACCGCCAGCCTGAATCTCTGGTTTACAGCCAGCCGGAGATGAGGGAGCGAGGCCCTTACCACGGCCTGGGGCCCAGCCCTGGACCATATACACCACAGGTAGGGTCGGAGTAAAAAACCAACAGTACTTCTTGATCAGACAGTTCTCTTGTACTTACCTGTTTTTAATTTGTACTCATTTCAGATTAGCTACAGCAAACCAGTGTCTCATGGTCCTCACCAGGGAGGACCAGCCAGCAGCAAAGGTCCCTGTCACTCACCCTGTGTTAACGGTGTTGGAGGAGGTGTTGGTGGTGGTCCCGGGGGTGCAGGCGTGGGGAGCTCCATCTCTCACACTGTCAGCACACCAGAGTTGGCCAACACCAAACAGCAGGGGACCAACGCTGGAAGCTACGCAGCTACAGCTAACATGCTGAGAAACCACATGTCTCGACCTCCTCCACCTTACCCTTCCAGCGCGTTCCGGCCAGCCACCAGTACACCTGATCTGGCCAGCCACCGTCACCGCTGCATTGGGGGCAGCAGCCCCGAACTTGTTACCCGCATGGTGCAGTTGTCGGTCAAGACTTTCCAGCCAGACAGCTCTGCCGTTGTGCACCAGTCGCTGCAGGAGGTCAGTGAACCACTAACTGCTGCTGCTAAGCATCGCTCCACTCTGGGCAAGAGACACAGTATGGAGGTGATCAGTAGCATGAGAGCAGGAGGAGGAGGAGGAGGAGGAGGAGGAGGCGGGATGGAAGGTTTAGTCATGAAAGGCATCAATGCTCCGCTCCATCGGAGGAACACTCTCAGAGAACATGTGATGCCGCCTCAGCCTCAGCCCATTCCTCAACCTCAGGCCCAAACCCCTCAGCCACAGCCTCCACCACAGCAGACAAAGGAGCTGCCCATGCAGATGCCTGTCCAGAAAACACCAGAACCCTCTGTGACAGCACCCGCACCTGTGGCCTATCAGCATCAAAAGACTCTTTCTAATGCTACCATGCTCATACACAGTAGTGAGAGTGAAGAAGAGGAAGAGGAGGAGGAGGAGAGGCCGGAGCTGGACGTTCAAATCCCAAGTCTCAACGAGGACATCAGCATCAGTGCTCAGCTTCAGGCTGCTCTGGCCAAACTGCCAAACAAACCGCCGCCAGAATATCCTGGTCCTCCCAGGCCCGCTGCTAACACTCAGATGAGGAACCACAATCATAACCACACACATCACCACACCCACAATCAAGGACCACAGAACAACCAGGGACCAGTGGACCCAAACCACGCTCACGGCAGAGTCCTTACCAGTGGGCCGAGCCAGGGTGATGTCAGACATGAAGAAGACTGTGGTACGGGTCCTGGTGGGACGCTGACCCGCGGGGATCAGAATGGAGTGAACGGGGCCGTTTTGGGTCCGTCTATCTCAGAACCAGACCTGACCAGTGTGAAGGAGAGGGTGAGGAAGGAGCCCGTCAAAGAGAGGCCAGTGTCAGAGATGTTCTCCCTGGAGGACAGCATCGTGGAGAGAGAAATTGCTCAAAGGGTAGGAAGAACATTCAGCCTTGTTATTTTAATAACAAAGCACAGACTTTTTCAGATTCAGTGACATATGAACGTCTAACAGTAAGAATCCTGAAACAGAAGCCCCTTCACCAGAGTTTACACTTTGAAATAGTCAGCTTCTGTTGTTTGCCTGTTATTTTCATGGCTCCTGATTAGCTGTAATCCAGGGTTTAGCACCTTAGAGGCTAGCACTAGGCTCCGAGTCTCCCCATGCAGCTAAAATCCCCATAATCCCTGATTATTGTTTTGGTTAGGTTCACTGTGTAGGTATAAATTAAATCATATAATCGCCTCACTTGAACTTCCTGTAAAGCCCTGTGTTCATGACTGACCAAGTGTACGTAGGTGAAGGTTAACTCCTCAGAATGTTTCCATTAGGAGAAAGAAAAAGTGCCATCGCCGTAGTTAAAATAACATCAGATTATGTGATTGATCAAATTTACCCCCTGGTGGCGCCCAAGCTGTTGTTTTGACTGACCCTTGGGCCAAAGAAGGGAAGGGTGGAGCTGTCCTGGAGGCCTGAAGGCATCAGAGATTAGGAGCATGTAATCCTAGGAGGAAGGAGCTGTGCAATGTGGGTCAAACTGGGGTTGACCAAAGTAACTCAGCACACATGGGGACAGTGTGTCATCTGTGAGGAAAGAGGCTGTAGAGTTGGAGTGGGGGAGGAGAGGTACGATCAACTAAACAGGATCACATCACATTTATTATGTTAGTTTTGTTAGTTTACACCTTTTCACACTGCGACGGAGGAAATAGGTGTGAATCTAACGTCCAGGCTCACATGGACGTCCACGTCACACCGTCCCTGCCCACTTGTCCACTTCACTGCAGCTGCTGAAGTCCAGTTATTCCTGCCATGCTGCCTATACCTGTGACCATGACCTCGGGATTTGTCTCTTTTTTAAAGACGCTGGAAAGACAGAAGATGTCGGTGGACTCCATGAAGAGACCTCTGATGATGGCCGCCCTTAATGGACTCTATGTGGCCCGGATGCCGGTTCCTAAGAGTCCAACAGAGGACGGCAGCAAGTCTGCTACCGACGAGCGGGTAAGACGCTCACTCATGCTGTCAGATCGTAGGATTTAAGGACATGGAGTAATTTCATTTATTATAGAATCTTATTTGTGTAGAAGTAGTAAGAGTAGTAATATACTTTTTCTGCTTGTATTTTCTGGTCCATACAGTAATGTCAAATTGTAGTCATGTTATATTGTAATACTATACAAACTGTAATAAAAAACCTGCATAAAATAATATTTTCAATAACTTGAAGTTAAATCTAAAACATACTAAAATATTGTGCTGGATTTCTGGTCTGCAGTAAAAATATTGTACATTCTTTAGTCCTCAATTTAATTATAAAAAAATCCAACCTAAAATGTTCTTGAAAAGTGATGAAGTATTTTTGTTAAATTTCCCCTTTTTATTTCTTTTTTCGTTTTGATCCAAAAGATTTAAAAACAAGCCTTTGTCCTGATGGTTGCTAAGCTAACGGGGGCAAGCCCCAAGTGGGCTGTGGAACGCATGGCATGGTGGTACTTATCGCCCCTGGGCCCAGTGGTATGTTAAGAATGTGACCCAGGAGAAAGCGGGCGAGCTGCAGACACACAGGGAGAAAGAGAGAGAGAGAGAGATGCTGCTCTCTCAGACATGGTTGTCCTTACAAACACTGTCCTCCAGGATCAATACCACCTACGCTTTTCTGTGCATTCATACAGAGTCGTTGTACTTTTAGATGTATTTTTTTGTTTGGTGGAATATCTGAAGATGTAGATGTTACTCTGAAAAAACTGAGATTTTTGCTATTCAGTGATTGAAAAGACCTCCCTCTGCTTTTCTTCTCTCCTCTTCTCTTCTCCCCTCTCTTCCACTTTTCTTTCTCCTTCAGTGTAAGACCCTGGAGTTGAAGCTGGAAGAGGAGCGGGTCTTCACCGAGTATGAGCAGGTGCCCAAGAAGAGAACCAACTGTGTTCTCACTACAGCGACATTGCCCGAAAATGCGGAGCGAAACCGCTTCAGGGACGTGGTTCCCTACGAAGAGAACAGGGTGGAGCTGGTGCCCAACAAGGAGAACAACACGGGCTACATCAATGCCTCACACATCAAGGTAATGTTGTCACTCATCCATCAGTGGTCTTCAGGCTGTGAGTCCACAGACTGGGACAGTCTGTGTAGACTAAAGGACTTCCATTCCTAACAGGAATGATTGTAGCAGAGCTCTGTTAATGCTGTCCTTACCGTCCACCAGGTTTCTACACACTCTACCTCAAATGACCAAATTCTGATTCCTGGCCAAATCCCCTTAATCACTGCTACCAGACTCATCTTACATAACACATTCAAACAAATAGTTTAAACTCGATACGTTCAGCTCTCTTCATGCCTTTGTGGACATTTCTAAGCAGGGAACTGCTGGATGGATGAAAGGCAGCCATTGAAGGCTGTTTGGTCTTTTAAGCTCACAGAGCCTTTGGAATTCCCAAAGAATGTGGTCCAAACTCCAAACCCTCTTAAATCAGTCCGAGCTACTCTCACCAGCGCTCCTATTCATGCTTAGTTACCAGTGGTGTGTGTGCGACGAGGATGCGTGTTTATGCATGAGTTTGCGTTTAGCCTAATTGCAGTGCAGGGTGCAATGGCCACGCTGAATCACTCTGCCCATCACGCTGCAAACCTCTTACTCCCCCTGTCACTTAAGGTGGCTACTGCAGAACAAAACGGCCTTGTTTATTCTCCATCTAGTTCTTGACACAGTGTTGGTAGTCAGACGGTGACCTGAGGGATCACTGAGGGAGTGATTCAGTCCTGGTGGTGGTTTTTGGTTATAACTGAGCGGGAAAAATGTTTTTAAAAAAACAACACAAAAATCAATTATGAGAAGAAGAGTTAATGTTAAGTATGAATGAGAGACAGTGACTCCCACTGTATACTTGGGATATGATATACTGCCCCCCAGTGGTGAATGTGAGTATTGTCTCCCTCTGGAATTCATCGTTTTCACTCAGTCACAGTTATTCCTCACTGAGGTGTTTGTGTGTGTGACTGTATGTGTGTTTTTTTGTCAGGTGATGATCAGGGGGGAGGAGTGGCACTACATCGCCACCCAAGGACCACTGGCCAACACCTGCGCCGACTTCTGGCAGATGGTCTGGGAGCAAGGGGTCAACGTTATCGCTGCGGTTACGGCAGAAGAGGTACAAACACAAACGGTTTACAGGGATGTGGTCAGTGTGTGTTTCAGTAAACAGCTGCTGTGTGTGAAATACATGTAATATATTATACTTCTGTACTATATTTACTACTGTACTATACATTACTATATCTATATTATAACTATAGAATCCTGATGATCACTTTCTTTTCCTTCTCTGGTCCAGGAGGGCGGACGGTCCAAGAGCCACCGCTACTGGCCTAAACTGGGCTCCAAACACAACTCAGCCACACACGGCAAGTTCAAGGTGACCACAAAGTTCCGCACCGACTCGGGCTGCTACGCCACCACAGGTTTGAAGGTCAAACACCTGTTGTCAGGTCAGGAGAGGACAGTCTGGCACCTGCAGTACACTGACTGGCCTGAGCAGGGCTGCCCTGAATATGTTGTAGGATTCCTCTGTGAGTAAAGGGAGAACTTCAGAGCGTGATAGGAAATCATTAAGTGAGGGCTTTGATGACCTTCTTGACCTCTGTCCCCTTTATTCCTGCAGCCTATCTAGAGGAGATCCAGTCTGTGAGGAGACACACAAACTCCATGATGGACACCTCCAAGAGCCTCAACCCTCCTGTGGTGGTTCACTGCAGCGCTGGAGTGGGTCGCACCGGGGTGGTCATCCTCACAGAGCTGATGATCAGCTGCCTGGAGCACAATGAGGTAAATGGACCGGAGGTCTACATCATTGCTGCTGATACAAACGTCCTGTTAGGTTTATTTATGTGTTACTTAATGAATTGAATTAACTAATTACCTGTCTGTATATCATCCCTCCACTTATTGTTGCTCTAACATTGGGATTTCCAAAGGATGGAGCACAAAGCCCTTGGGGTGTGTAACCTGCCACTAGGGGGTGCTTGAGATAAAAATGTGATGGTGGTTTGAAGTGTATTTTATCCACACATTAAAGATGTGTTAATAAACATTTCCTTTGTATTATAATTTAAAATTGTCATTGTCATTAGGACGTGACTTTGTTAGTAAATTCCCAACTTCAGTTCTTGACAGCGTCGCTGCTCTTCTGTTTTTCCCTGTAACGGTTGACTTTTAACTTCTGCTGTGTTTCTGTCTCCTCAGCCTATGGAAGTTCCAGCCATGCTGTCGGAGCTGAGGCAGCAGAGGATGCTGATGGTGCAGACCATCTCCCAGTATAAGTTTGTCTACCAGGTCCTCATCCAGTTCCTCAAGAACTCTCGCCTCATCTGAGCAAGTAATGATGTGGCTGAGTCAGAACCTCCGTTTGCAGGTTTAAAGTGACGACAGTGTTTTTTCTGGTCATTCTTCGTATCAGATGGGAATTCTTTTTTATCCCTGCTCCTAGTTTTCTCCGTCAGGTCACTGTCAGAGAGTCAAGTGACGCTTAAATCCTGCCGGCGTTCAAATAGTTTTCTGTCCCTGTGCCCCTGGTGCTCATGAGATTTTTTGTCTTTGTTATACAGGTCTGAAGCTTATTAACACAGTGCTACATTTCAAACTCACTCCTCAGCAGGCTTTACGCTGCATGAACAGTAGGTGGCAGCAGTATTGCTGCTAAACTCTTAGTGTGCTCTGAAAGAAAGAAATAACAGAAATATGCTCTAAAAAATCACATTTTAATATTTTCTCATACTTTAACAGAGTATTGATTAACTCGGCAAATATTTACTTTAACAGTTAACAGTTTTTATAATTTATTTCTACTATGAACGAGGTCACATTTGCCTTGAAACACAGCATGAACAAACGTGTCAGTGAATGTTTTTTTTAAATGCTTCTTTTTAAGGAACTATTTCAATGAACAAATCATTTCAAATGTCTGTCCAGTTCATTGAAGATAAACATCTGACTGATGTCAAACAGGGAAGCGTGTCCTTATACTGTATATACAGCAAATACTGTATTTTAATGCCTTACTTAAAACTTAAAACAATGGTTTGTGATGTACTGGACGAGTTTAGTAAAAAAAAAAAAAAAAACTCCAAAAAATAATCTTCAAGTTTTTGTGTCATTACAAAAACAATAATATTTCAAATCCTTTACCTAAATCTTGGGTAAAGACAGAACACAATGAGAAATGTGATATTTTATTTGTGATTCAGTCCTGGTGAATCTTGTTTATAAAAATCACTTAGAAACCGCAAGAAAAAATTCTCAAAGATTCATATTATCGTATTGTTTATGTAATAACCAGCCATGTCTTCAATAACATTGTACATATAACGGGCATGAGAAAGAAAAATCAAACTATTTTATGTATTATATGTGTTGTTGTTTTTTTGTTTTTGACTTGGTACCCTCAAAATACCGCAACTTAATCAACTATGCATGCCTTTTTATATATTTCAGTGTATATATTCTCAGATAAGTATAAGCTCTCTGTTGACATGTAAGTGTTTTGTTGCACTTCGGTTGTTTTCGTGACAGTATTTTTTTTTTTCCACAAGGCATTCCACACTTTAATATTTAATCCTAATCCCCGTTTGTCTTCCCCTGTTTTTGGCCAAACTTCTAAATATGTTACTGAGTATGTGTACATATGTTTTGTATATGTGTTTTCAGTGCATCTCTTTTTTTTCTCCCCAGACTTGTATGAAACTGTCATACTTGGCTATTATGCAATAAAGCCTTATTTTCTTTAAGACTGTGGCCAACAGTTTGGTTGTTTTTCCTCGGCCCAGTCAAGTTAACGCTTCACCATCACCTTGGTGCATTTTAGTTGACGGTTATTTTACTTTTCATTCACAAACCATGACAGTCCTTTGCTCACTAACACTTTCTCTCTTTTTTGTGGTGATTATGAACTGAAGTATAAACGATGATGGATTCAAACCACATACTTCAACTAACTATGATGTCATTTCTGACCGCAGGGGATTGAAAAGAGTCACCAAGGAACACATTTAATAGTCAAGTCAATTTTATCTGCTTGGCTCCAATTCACCAAACACCACGATGGACTTTATTGACATGGAAATGAAATCAAATCCTTCACTGTCTCCTTGTGGTGAAGCAGCTGTCTGACCACCTGACTGAGACATTTGTTGCGTTGACGTCAAACCCCCATCAACTGTAGTAAATTCCTGAGTTCAGGTGAAAGCATTGGGGTCATGAGTCATTAACCCCGTAACAACTTTATAATGTACAAATGTAGGCCGTGTACAAAATATCTGCAAAGTTCTCAAAAAAATGCATAAGAAAAAAAAAACCTTCCATAGAAACAAATGTATCTTTGTTACAGTGACACATTCCACAGAAAGTGCCTTCAGCTGTGAAGAGCTCCTGAACAGAGGAGCGTCTGTAGTCCACAGGAATCCACCAGAGGTCGGCCTCTTTACTGTCCTCTTCACTTTTGTGCTATTTCCTTACGCAGCTCTGCCAGATATAAGTGATCTTTCCCGTGAGTGACCTCCATGATGGCCAACGCCTGTGGACACACACGCAGTGAACGTCTTATAACAGAAGAAGTGTCGTCAAAGTCTCTCTGTCCCTGATGAAGGGTCAGGCTGAAATCGTTTATTTGTTTGATTTAATTGACTGTATAAAATACCTTCTTGAGGAGACCGACACCCACTGAGTTCCTGTCCATCACCATGTACAAGCGACCCATCTTCAGATAGATGGACGAGACGTTCAGGGAGAACGGAGGATACAGCTGGCTGGAGTTTCCATGCAAAAATATGAATTAAAACAAATAAAAGTGAATAACAAAATAAAACCGACATAAAACAACAGTACCAGTGCCACGTGTGTCTGGTTGTGGTTCTTACAAGTACGGTTTGAGGATCTTCTCCCCGTATCTGATGGCTCCTTCTACGTCCTCCATGTAGAGACAAACCCCCATGGCTTGGTAGACCATGTGGAGCATGTAGACATTGGAGTCGTCGAAGACAGATCCCATCTCCTCCATGCTATGTTCACACATCTCCAGCAGCTCACCAGGGGGTGCTAAAGAGTCAAGGTTGCATCCACAACTATTTCCTGGTTGAATTGTTGGGGTCATAAACAGAGTCAGCCATATTGGTGTTTTGTTTTTATAGTAAAAAATGTTTGACACCAAGGATATTTTTAATGTTCTTGCAGGCCCTGAATTCTCTGATGCTCTTCCTGGCGTAGCGAACCATGTTGTTGACGACCTCCGGCTCAATGGGGTCACTCCTCTTTCGCAGCTTCAACTTTTTCTTATCCTGGAGAAACAAAACAGAGGACACATGACGACAGGCCAATCAGAGGGGGTGTCCACCTCAGTCTGTAATGGCACTTTTCTCTGTTTTTACCAGGTCTTACTTTGGACTTGGTTTTACATTCCTGACAATCACAGCTGAAGTAATAGGACTCCCTCAGCCTGTTGTTGCGATCATCTGTTGGGTAAAGGAGGTCGATGTAGCTGATGAGCACCTGCAGGAGAGGAGAGCACGTAAATACACGACACATGAAAGATCTACAGGAAAGGAGAGTAAAGTACTGTATTTGTCATGAACGAAAAGGTAAGTTTTAAGTTTTTTTTACTTTATATTGCATAAATCTTGCCACAGTTTGACATTTAATATAAAGTCCTGGTCTTATTTTCTTCGGTAAATATTACAACCTTACCCCTAGGCTCTACCAAAGAGAATAGAAGTCAAAGCAATTTCTATCAGTTGTTTCACAAAACTGCACACTCGAGCACATTTAGGTAAAAGACAGAATAGGAGCCAACCCCCACTAGAGGCAGCTGTCCTTTTTCCTCACTTCATCTCCAGGCTTCATGTTCTGGACTGCCCTTATCTCAGCTGACGTCCCCTTGTAGGTGACGATGACGCTGGGAAGACAGCTGTGGTTTATGAGGGCCACGCTGTGAGGCGAGAAGATGGCAGAAGAAGAAATGAGATTATAGACGTGTACGCAATGGATCAGCTACTGCTCAGAATGAAGATATCTCAGCGATACAGTCCACTTGTGTTGAGTTTGTGTTAGGTTTGCTGTTACTCAATATTTTTTACAAAACAAGATATGATGTTTTTTGGGTGGGATTTGTATTCCAAATTTTACACACAGGAGTATATTATGTGTTATTTTGTGGCATTTCTGGATTATTTTATGTTTTGTGTGTTTTCCAAAAAAGTCATAGGATAATATAACGTTTTTTGGTTTTTTACGTATTTTACTCTCAGGTTATCTCCCCACACAACTAGAATGTGATTAATCAAAAATTAAACATTTTAACTGAGTGACAGCTAATTTATATATATTTATTTATTTAGTTTTTGAGGGGGCAGTGTGTATTTTGATTACACATGACATTAATTACCTTGGATGTAATAATAATAATAATAATAATAATAATAATAATAATAATAATGATAATGATAATAATGATAATAACGGTAATATTAATAAAAATAAAATAATAATTATATTTAAATCTAACCACTATCCTATCACGTGACCCAGGTATGATAAAAAGTTGATGTTAATCAACAGCAGCTATTGAATGTAAATGTGACTGTACAGTGTACAGGTGCATAAGTGTTCCTTCTTACTCTGGGTAGACTGCTGTGCCTAAGTGGGACAGTTCATCATCCTCTATAGTGAAACCATTACAAGCCACCTGTTGAAGGAAACACAAGAAACAACAACAAAACAAGAATGAAAAAAGTAAAAATAAATTATTCTTTCAGCATATGTTAGCGTGTGTTTGTGGGATTGGATGAGAAGGACCTGGGAGAACAGTGTGAGCAGGTCCTTGTGGTCTGGAAAGTCCAGGTGCTTGGAGTAAAACTGATGCAGCTCAGCAATGTTCCCCTCGTTCATCTCTCTGTTTTCGTTGTCCACATCCTCCACGTCTGTTAGAGAGAGGGGGAGAACTGTTTTACCCACTCACTGGAAGAGGAAGAATGCTTTTTATATGAGCCTTTAAAAACATCAAAATGTAGAGATTTCTTAAACTTAAATGTCCAGTTAGGCTTCCATAGAACACTCAAGGGCCTCCTTGCCTTATAATAAAATATTTTTAAGTTAAAATAGCTGGCCAGAACTGGCTACAAATTTGACGAAAAGTTACCAAAAATATATGCAAGCTGGCCAAAATGGGCTAACGAGTAGTTAAGACAATAGCTAAATGTAGAGGGGTACTATGCTGGCATGCTACTATGCTACTAGCTAAATGTAGAGGGGTACTATGCTGGGACGGACTTAGATAAAAAACCAATTGATCAGAAATAGCCTTATGTACAGAAAATCTACCTTGCCATAAACATATATCAGACAAATATTACCCCATGACAAGCTAACAATTAGCTGCTAAAACAGACAAATTCTTAGTGATCTTGTTCTTGTAAACCAGACGGTAAATACTCACGTGACTGCATCTCTCCTATGAGCAGGATCTTCTCAGACACACATCTTTCTTTTTGTGATTTCTGGAAAAAAAAAAAGAAAAACAACAAAAAACTAAAACAAACAAAAAACATATAACTGTAAATACATAGCCAATGAGTTTGTTCCAGAGAGAGCTCTGTGTTTTATTGACTCTCAGACCGTCTTGGCAAGGATCCGGGCCACAAGGCGCGTCATCTCTGATGGACACCATTTCTCTCCAAATGCAGTAATTGCTGAACACTCCAGCTTGTGCATTGCCCAATCCGCTTTCTACATGACACACAGAAAAGTATTAGATGAAATCCAATTCAAATGAAAAGTAAATGGTTAGTTAGTAAAAGCTGGTTGAAAAGTCTAATACACAGTTCTGCACATCTGTTAAAACACTCAGTATTGTCTTCACAGCTGACACCTGGTAAAATCTGTTTGATTTTCCTACCTGACATTTTACATTGCAGTAAAACGCTTTCTTGCATTTTCCACATTTTGCCAGTCCTTCCTTCCTGCAAGACACAATGTGTTTTCATAATAATGACATCAAAATGTTTCTGCAAGTTATGAAACATCCCAAACATCACATCACATCACATTTCATCATTAAATGTAATTGTAATTGTGAACGTGGAGGACGTGGCTAAAGCTGCCAGTGCGTCAGTATCACTGTCAGTGCCTATGAACAGAAACGTTCTGCTCCAAGACGAGACGCAGCAGTTGCCTGTGAGCAGTGAACGGCTTTGAAACATGCAGTGGTATTAATAGAGCTGACCTTCTGAAGTATCAGCTGTCCACAGTGAAACAGCAAAAGTGTCTGAAGGCACACTGGCACAAGTTTACAGATTTTTTTTAATTTTTACGAAAGCTAAACGGCTTCTGAGGCTTCAGGTGAGAAAACATGAACAATTTGGGATCAAAACACTGTTAAAGTATATATTGAAAGTCTAAAGGGTCAGACAGTGGTCTGTGGTGATCAACAGTGAACAAGGGGCTCAAACAAAGCAAATCATAATTCACTGCAACTACTCCTTTATCAACAAGAAGTGTTAGAATGCAGACAGAAATAATAGACAGATGATAGTAACATACAATGGGAATTTATTTTTGCAAGTTTAAAATAATTCTATTATTAAGTGATTTGATGACGATTTAATTCCTGGGTGATTTACTTTGGTTTTATTTCTTTTTTTCCTTTAACACTTCCTGAATAGTTTGCCTTCATAAATGTGTACTGTGGATAGTAGTGATTACGCTAGCAAAATTACTTTGCAATTAAAGGTGCAACTCCAGGTTGACAGAGTGTGAGTTACATAATAACAGGCCATTCAGGAGAGCAAATCTCTTACTCATGGTATCTGGACAGAGAGGACATATAGGCATTTGAAAGGTGATATAGAGGAACCACCATTCAGAAAGAAGAGCCACAGCTTAAATAGATTCAGTGGTAGGTTATTTTTATGACAGAGTTACATGTGGTCCAGAGCTGCATGTGTATGAGGTGGCCAGTTGTTAGAATAAATAATAGAATAAAATACTTTAGTATAATAGTATTGTGGAGAGCTGCAGACACTCTGCATGCTTTCTTTGTCTTTAACCTGTGTTTACACTGTTTCAAGATGGAAAAGTTTGCCACACAATAAAGACCTTCTTGGTGCCAAGTTAAACATCTAAGGATTATAGTCATGTCTAAACCATTAGAAGACGAAATATGGCTTTTCATCAATACTGTCATAAATCTCTAAATAAATGTTTTGCACTGAGAAGCATTATTTTGAGATGATTTAAGATTTAAAATTCTGGTTTACTTTGTCTTGTTAGAAAAGTACAGATGCATACCTGGTGAAGCAAAACTCACAGTAATAGCCTCTCTCCTTCACTGATAACACATGAGAGAATGCAGGGCAGGAGAAGAGAAGCTCTCCAACTTTGAAGGCCTTAGTGACGCGCAGACCTCGGCCTTTCCCTGGGCTCTCGAACCTCTCTATTCCCTTAATGCTGCCTGTCATGGCTGTGTGGTTTTTTCCTTTCAGCCTCAGTCTTCACTCCGAGTGACTCTACCCTGTAGGAGACGTTGTAAAGTAGAGGGGGGATGTGCGTGTGTGAGACACTGACCGCCAACTGGCCAGGAGTCACCAATAATAGTACAGGAAGTAGAGTGGCAGTTAGCTATAGAAGACAAAAAATAAAATAAATAAATAAATAAACAAACAAACAAAAAACAGGTAAAATAAATAAATGTATAATAAATACATAAATAAATAGAACTTATTGTTTGAAATTTCCAAGATTTGGTGTATTTCAATACCAGATAGTGAGATGTAGTCTTACACAAACCCATGTACAAATGGATGACACAAAACTTTGTTACTTATCAAACCTGTTTTTATTTATTTAATTTAAAACGTTGATATTATTCTAATTTATTATAATTATTATCAATATAAAATAAATAAATAAATGTATATCATCAAATAGTTTATTTTGTTTCCAAAGTATTTTTAACCACAAAAATAATTAAATAGATAAAAAACAAGTATCTAGCACATAAACTACTCCTAAATTAATTGTCGAAAATATATTAATACAGTTTAATATCATTAAGTCGTCATTTCCGTTTATTTCGGCGACAGGTTGTGACGTAATGACGCACAACGACGTCTAGGTTTAGTCCGTTATTTTGAAACACACCTACGGATGCTAAGTTGTAAATACAAGGAGGGCATCGAAGGAAAGGTTTAAAAATGTGTCAATATGATTCAGAAACTGATTCCAAAGTTGTAGTAAAAAATTTTGTTCTAATTTTCCTTTTATATTTGCACCTAGAGTCATTGGAAAAACAGAAGACGTCCAGCTACACATCCGAATATTGAACTTCACGTCGACCTGTTGCTAATTCTCAGAAGAGGAGGAAACACCTGCCCTACGTCAGACTGGACCGCACAGTCGCTGTTGCTAAGGTAAGATTTGCCCACTCATTGTGCTGACGCAACACATTTGCTCATCTTAAATCACAAAATAAGTATATGTGAGCGATATCCTATGTAAATCTAATTAATTCTAATTTAAAAAGGGTATGAATGATAGACAGCCAATGAAATAATAAACGCACACGCTACAGTTTTCTGTAATTACCAGTTTCACAATTAATTTTACCACGTACTACAGTTTTCTGTAATTACCAGTTTCATAATTAATTTTACCACGTATTTTTTTTAACTTACTACGAATTTTATTTAGCTTATAAGTTGATAATATCTGACAGATAATTGGTGTTACGTGAGAAGTAAGTGTATGAAGCCTTAATCCTGTCACAGTACGTTAGGGTTTTTTTTGCCAAAGTGTAATGACGGAAGCCTTAATCCTGTCACAGTACGTTACACTTTTTTGCCAAAGTGTAATGACACCCTCTGTTGGTGAAGTTGGAGCATTACCGGTACTGGCATATTTTATATTATTCTGCCTCACATTTGAAAGGCGAGAATCTGTATCTCGTTATGTGCAAATGTCATGACAACAAATGATTCTTGATTCTTTATTCTTAAGAAATGAGATGGTGTTAAAAAATAACCCACTGGAGCTTTGTTTGAACACATCGGGTGCATGCTAAAATATTTTACTGACAAAACCTTTTCATACCTCAAGTCTTAATTAATTTTTAGATATGACTGTGATTGAATGATAGGGTCCTGGCCTAACAGAGCATTTTGTATTTGCTGTTCTCCACTTTTGTCATGTTGTGCCATCATGTGGTTGTATTTTGTAAGTGCACCCTTAAATGACCAGGATGTAATGTACATACATAGAGTTATATATTCAGCGGTCACTTCATATACCGGCAGGTTATTTTGCAGACAGTAGAAGAAGTCAGGGTTAAGGTCACGACCTTGAGCAGATTGAAATGCATCAGGACTCATAAGCCTGTGCTCCTCCTGTCTTTCTCCCCCTCTGTGCACTACTGTAAAATATTTTTTTTCTCTCATCTCTATCTGAAGGCTTTATCCAACTTTGCCCCAGATTCACCCCGATTTATTATAATTCCATTTTTCTGGTCCTTCAATCTAAAGATTTGTTTCTCTGCATTTTTAATAACAAGCATAAAAGTGAAGCATGTCCTGGAGAGATTATGTGGTCGTCTTTGGCGGAGTCTCGTCTTGATTACATCACAGGAACCTGATTTGATTTGGAAGAAACCCCCTGTTCCAGGGCAGGATCTCTTTAGACCTGCAACACTGTGCTGCTTTCTTGTCTTGTCAGAGGGGATGATGTTGATGAATATGATCTGAAACGCCAGGGAGGTCAGAAGGGAGGGAAGAGATTAGGTGAGAGGATTATGATTTTAAATCATGAGAAATATAATAAGAAACAATAAATCCTAAGTAGATTTACTTCTCAAGAAAACCCTGTTAGTGGAAATCAAAAGAATAAGAGACATCACAGAGAGAAGAGGCAGCATTTGTATTATAGAGATGCGGTCTAATCTAGGCCTATTCATTGTTTATTTCACATGTATACTTGGATATATACATATATACACACACATTTAAATATCTGTGTGTATATCCCCATATATTTTTTATAAAAATATTTTCTACTTTTTCTACTTTATTATTATATCTTACTGTAGGTGTATGTGTTATTTGTGTGTTTTCTCTGTACTCAGGTCCCATAATCTGTAGTCTAGATATTAATCTTATTCTGAATTGACCGCTGAAGAGAAATTGAGTGTGAAATGCTGTTTGTCTTCATATGTGATCCTGTTGTGAACTGGCAACCTGTCCAGGCTGTACCTGATGTCTGTTGGGACTGGCTCCAGGTCCTGGAACAACTTCTATTTTCTGTATTTAAATGACTAAAAATCTAGATAAATGGAGAAACGAATAGCAAATTTTATGATTTAGTGAAGAATATTGACAAGGGTCTAGATCGATCATAGGTCAGTACTTTTAGATTATAAAGGAAACTATTTTGTTGTGTTTTGTGGGTGTGTGTCTAACCGACTTCTTTGCTCCATCGTTTTTTACACCACCCGTACACACTGTATGTATAACCTATGGTCCTACTTACGACTACGTTGATGGATTCAGCACTTTGTCACATTGTAGACCTCGTAAAATGGCAGCTGTTAATGCCCCTCTGCCACGAGGTCGCGCAGAAGGGATGTGTGTGAAATCCAGCACGGTTAAAGACCTTTGCTACACCTGATCTGGCTGTAGTCGTGGCCTGACTTCTGCTCGAGTTGTACCCGTAACCTTGTCAACGCAGGCCATTCCCAGGCTGCTGCGTTAACCAGGGGTCATCCGCAGGTCGTGGTATGAGAAATTGGCAGTGTAGTGTGTTTGCATTTTAGTGAAGGGGGTGAGGACAGAGTGCCAGACAAATCTATGCTGTGATTTAGAAAAGGCAGCATGCCAAGACTATATATAATTATGCTTATATTCCCCTGAGCTGAGTCCTGGTAATATACTGTAAATCCACATACTTTCAGATGAACCCCATGACATCAGTGAGACAATGTCCACCATCTCCCCTTGTCCCTTGTCAGACGCTCAGGGAGCCAAGTCTTAAGCCTTAACCCACTCTGTCTCCACCCGTGGATTGGAGGGGGAGTCGGGGGGGTGACGCCGGCCGTTTGGCCATCTTAGCCCATGAGGGTTTTGAAGGCGCAGAGCCTCATCTTCCACTGTTGATCCATGTGTCTTTGCTTTGGCACAGACACGGCACTATAGACCACTGTGGGCAGAGTGGGGTCCACTGCCCTGTGGTACCTATCTAAGCCCTGCTTTCACTCGGGGGGCTTAGCGCCTCACCCTCCAGCTGTTTTATGAGCAGACAGCTGAGCTAATCTGTCACCCTCTTCCCACCTATGTCTCACGCTTTGTTTCTTCTTCGGACTTGATCATCAAGGCCCTGTGCCTCTATTAGATCCCGTTCAGACACCGTTGATCCTGTTTCCTTATACAACACAAACACAGCAGTACTTCAGTACAACAAAGGAACAGCTGTATGGTGTCATGGAGTAACTTCTTTCAAGAACATTCAAACTTCAAATACATAATTTTAACCGTTTAACTGTTTCATTAAATATTTGAATCTGCTGTAGCTGGTATGCAGAAAGGCAAAGGAATTTTTCTGTATCTATTTTCATGATTTATCCCACAGTGGGGAAGGCTATATAACTGGGCTAGACTGTGTGTAAGAGCTATATTAGAACACAGTTTATTCTGATCCTGGTATTTTAACTTAACAGTCATGGTTTCTGTTTCTTGGAGAACAAGGACATTTCAGTTGTTTAGAGTCCCCCCTACCTACCAGTAAAATATATAAAAAACTTATTTGACTATTTCTAGTAAACCCATGGTTCCTAATTTAAAAAGTTATGATTCATGAAGGATTGGTGTCTTACCTCTACAGTGTTGTTAATAATACATTTAAAAACAGTTATTTTTTTGTAATGAATGCTGTCATAGTTTCCTTCTTTCTTCCTTGACTTTTTTGAACGGGTCACTACATTCTCCAAATGACTTGCTACTTTTCATCATCTCTTCTATTTCTTTATCCTCTCCCTGTTCTGACCTGTAACCTTGATCTTCATCTTCATCTTCATCTCCTCCTCCTTGGCGCTGCCCTCTTCAGCAGTCAGGCTAAAGTTAGAAGTGACAACAGTTGCAGGTTGACACCAAAGGCTAAATAAGACCAGAACAATAGCTGCCCCCTCCTACTTTCAGCCCCTCATCTTCCCCTTTAATAGACCTCTATTGTTCTGTGCCTCCACTGTTGCTCTTTCACAGAGTTTGTTAGCTATGCTAATGAAGACTGGGCTTGTGTGGGTTTAGTGAGCGGGGATTTGATGCTCTTTAACTGGGCTCTTTTAGAAAGGGGTTACAGTCATGAGAGCGGCCACCGGTAAAATGTCAGAGGCTTGTGGACGGGGTACTGTGGTGGAAGTGCATCAGAGGTCCGTTAGATTCACACAGCAGCGCTTTTCTTCTATTTGATATCTATACGCTGCCCTAAACACAGCAGTCAGCACAATGTCCAAAAGAAAATATAGTTCAGAGTACAGTATATACCTCTGGCCCTCCATTGCACGATGTACTGTGTGTGTCAGCATGTCAGAGTCCTTGCAGGAAAAAAAAAAGCGCGGAGTAAGACAAGATGCAGCGGCTACAGTAGGTTTAGTGCAGTCAGTCAGCCAATCATTCAGTAAGTCTGTAAATAGCCTGGCCGATGGCTCCTTTGAGCTTTCCTCTAAGAGGAATTCTCTTTCTCCTTGGTGTATTAATAGTCCCTGTGCATTGTTTCCTACAGCAGCACTAGTGCAATCAAAGGAAGTTGGCCTGCCAAGTATACAAATATTTTCCTTTGTCCCTATGTTTAGCCG